TATTGTAGGAGAAAACAGTACATGAAAGGAGTAGTATGTCCGAAACCTCAGTACTCATAAAAGAGTAGGCGAGAAGTTCCTGGATGTCTATTTACATCTGACAGGAAAATCTTCTATAAGTATTTCAGATGCGCACATCACACCATGAAATAGACATCTGATGTATGTGTGCTATTTCAGAATTTACTGTTGCGTCAACACTGTTCACATTATATAGGAGCCATGTAATGTGAAAGTAATGTGAACAAATGATAATGGGAGTGTCATTAATTAAGTGGGGTTAAAACACCTGTTGTGTGTGTGTGTGTGTTCATATGGAAGAATGGGGGTGAGTGCTGGAGAGCGTTTTGTTGACCGTGCAAACCTGTACAAAATAAAACAACATGCAAGCTTCTCGGATAAACGTGTCACAGGAATTATTCCTCTACTCAGCTCCTTAGCGGTTTTTGGATTGTTTTTATGTGCCACTACACATTAAATTAATGTGCAGTAAGGTAAATACCGTCACTTCACCGGCCCTTATGAGTCCCTCCATCACTCCACCGGCCCTTATGAGTCCCTCCATCACTCCACCGGCCGTTATGAGTCCCTCCATCACTCCACCGGCCCTTATGAGTCCCTCCATCACTCCACCGGCCCTTATGAGTCCCTCCATCACTCCACCGGCCCTTATGAGACCCTCCATCACTCCACCGGCCCTTATGAGACCCTCCATCACTCCACCGGCCCTTATGAGTCCCTCCATCACTCCACCGGCCCTTATGAGACCCTCCATCACTCCACCTGCCCTTATGAGTCCCTCCATCACTCCACCGGCCCTTATGAGACCCTCCATCTCTCCACCGGCCCTTATGAGACCCTCCATCTCTCCACCGGCCCTTATGAGTCCCTCCATCACTCCACCGGCCCTTATGAGACCCTCCATCACTCCACCGGCCCTTATGAGTCCCTCCATCACTCCACCGGCCCTTATGAGTCCCTCCATCACTCCACCGGCCCTTATGAGTCCCTCCATCACTCCACCGGCCCTTATGAGACCCTCCATCACTCCACCTGCCCTTATGAGTCCCTCCATCACTCCACCGGCCCTTATGAGTCCCTCCATCTCTCCACCGGCCCTTATGAGACCCTCCATCTCTCCACCTGCCCTTATGAGACCCTCCATCTCTCCACCGGCCCTTATGAGTCCCTCCATCTCTCCACCTGCCCTTATGAGTCCCTCCATCTCTCCACCTCCCATATGAGACCCCCCATCACTCCACCTGTCCTTATGAGTCCCTCCATCTCTCCACCTCCCATATGAGACCCCCCATCACTCCACCTGTCCTTATGAGACCCTCCATCACTCCACCTGTCCTTATGAGTCCCTCCATCTCTCCACCTCCCATATGAGACCCCCATCACTCCACCTGTCCTTATGAGTCCCTCCATCACTCCACCGGCCCTTATGAGACCCTCTATCACTCCACCTCCCTTATGAGTCCCTCCATCACTCCACCTGCCCTAATGAGACCCTCCATCACTCCACCTGCCCTAATGAGTCCCTCCATCACTCCACCTGCCCTTATGAGTCCCTCCATCTCTCCACCTCCCATATGAGACCCTCCATCACTCCACCTCCCTTATGAGACCCTCCATCACTCCACCTGCCCTAATGAGTCCCTCCATCACTCCACCTCCCATATGAGACCCTCCATCACTCCACCTCCCTTATGAGACCCTCCATCACTCCACCTGCCCTAATGAGTCCCTCCATCACTCCACCTCCCATATGAGACCCTCCATCACTCCACCTCCCTTATGAGTCCCTCCATCACTCCACCTCCCATATGAGACCCTCCATCACTCCACCTCCCTTATGAGTCCCTCCATCACTCCACCTGCCCTAATGAGTCCCTCCATCTCTCCACCTCCCATATGAGACCCTCAATCACTCCACCTGTCCTTATGAGACCCTCCATCACTCCACCTGCCCTTATGAGTCCCTCCATCACTCCACCTGTCCTTATGAGTCCCTCCATCTCTCCACCTCCCATATGAGACCCTCAATCACCCCACCTGTCCTTATGAGACCCTCCATCACTCCACCTCCCTTATGAGACCCTCCATCACTCCACCTGCCCTTATGAGTCCCTCCATCACTCCACCTATCCTTATGAGTCCCTCCATCACTCCACCTGTCCTTATGAGGCCCTCCATCACTCCACCTCCCATATGAGACCCTCCATCACTCCACCTCCCTTATGAGTCCCTCCATCACTCCACCTCCCATATGAGACCCTCCATCACTCCACCGGCCCTTATAAGTCCCTCCATCATTCCACCGGCCCTTATGAGACCCTCCATCACTCCACCTGCCCTAATGAGTCCCTCCATCACTCCACCTCCCATATGAGACCCTCCATCACTCCACCTCCCTTATGAGTCCCTCCATCACTCCACCTCCCATATGAGACCCTCCATCACTCCACCTCCCTTATGAGTCCCTCCATCACTCCACCTGCCCTAATGAGTCCCTCCATCTCTCCACCTCCCATATGAGACCCTCAATCACTCCACCTGTCCTTATGAGACCCTCCATCACTCCACCTGTCCTTATGAGTCCCTCCATCTCTCCACCTCCCATATGAGACCCTCAATCACTCCACCTGTCCTTATGAGACCCTCCATCACTCCACCTCCCATATGAGACCCTCCATCACTCCACCTGCCCTAATGAGACCCTCCATCACTCCACCTGCCCTTATAAGTCCCTTCATCACTCCACCTGCCCTTATGAGTCCCTCCATCACTCCACCTGTCCTTATGAGTCCCTCCATCACTCCACCTGCCCTTATGAGTCCCTCTATCTCTCCACCTGCCCTTATGAGACCCTCCATCACTCCACCGGCCCTTATAAGTCCCTTCATCACTCCACCGGCCCTTATGAGTCCCTCCATCACTCCACCTGCCCTTATGAGACCCTCCATCACTCCACCGGGCCTTATGAGTCCCTCCATCACTCCACCTGCCCTTATGAGTCCCTCCATCACTCCACCTGTCCTTATGAGTCCCTCCATCACTCCACCTGCCCTTATGAGTCCCTCCATCACTCCACCTGCCCTTATGAGTCCCTCCATCACTCCACCTGCCCTTATGAGTCCCTCCATCACTCCACCTGCCCTTATGAGTCCCTCTATCTCTCCACCTGCCCTTATGAGACCCTCCATCACTCCACCTGCCCTAATGAGACCCTCCATCAGTCCACCTGCCCCAATGAGACGCTCCATCACTCCACCTGCCCTTATGAGTCCCTCCATCACTCCACCTGCCCTTATGAGTCCCTCTATCTCTCCACCTGCCCTTATGAGACCCTCCATCACTCCACCTGCCCTAATGAGACCCTCCATCAGTCCACCTGCCCCAATGAGACGCTCCATCACTCCACCTGCCCTTATGAGTCCCTCCATCACTCCACCTGTCCTTATGAGACCCTCCATCACTCCACCTCCCATATGAGACCCTCCATCACTCCACCTGCCCTAATGAGACCCTCCATCACTCCACCTGCCCTTATAAGTCCCTTCATCACTCCACCTGCCCTTATGAGTCCCTCCATCACTCCACCTGTCCTTATGAGTCCCTCCATCACTCCACCTGCCCTTATGAGTCCCTCTATCTCTCCACCTGCCCTTATGAGACCCTCCATCACTCCACCGGCCCTTATAAGTCCCTTCATCACTCCACCTGCCCTTATGAGTCCCTCCATCACTCCACCTGCCCTTATGAGACCCTCCATCACTCCACCGGGCCTTATGAGTCCCTCCATCACTCCACCTGCCCTTATGAGTCCCTCCATCACTCCACCTGTCCTTATGAGTCCCTCCATCACTCCACCTGCCCTTATGAGTCCCTCCATCACTCCACCTGCCCTTATGAGACCCTCCATCACTCCACCTGCCCTTATGAGTCCCTCCATCACTCCACCTGCCCTTATGAGTCCCTCTATCTCTCCACCTGCCCTTATGAGACCCTCCATCACTCCACCTGCCCTAATGAGACCCTCCATCAGTCCACCTGCCCCAATGAGACGCTCCATCACTCCACCTGCCCTAATGAGTCCCTCCATCTCTCCACCTCCCATATGCCACCCTCCATCACTCCACCTGTCCTTATGAGACCCTCCATCACTCCACCTGCCCTTATGAGTCCCTCCATCACATAGATTGCACAATTGAAAAGGACAGCCATTTTGTTGCTTCAACAAAACCACAAAATAAGCAAGTTTCATCAATATTAAGATATTTACAGAGATTAATTAAACCTGAATCTCATATATGTTAAGTTGTTGCTCTTGTGATAATGCATCTGCTTCACATTCATCCTCAACAAGATAAGGCTATATAAAGTACCTACTCTTTCAGTGTTCATTAGTTACCTATTAAAAGCAAGTACCTCATTGAGTATGTGGTTTCAAACGCAGCCCATTGTTTTTCATTTTTTGCAAGTGAAAATTCAGAATCACCTTATGATTTAGAAAGGCACATTCCCTGCAATCTTTTTATTTTATTGAATTGATCCACACACACGAAAAAAGAAAATGTAGGCAAAAGCCCACTTTAATATAACTATCAAGGCCACCCCCAAAATAGATATATTTTTTTATTTAAAAGATATTTTGTGTGTGTTACCAATTCTGCTGCTTTTCATTAGACACTCCAGAGTTCATTGCATTATTTTAGCTATGAATTAGATACTCAGAGAAAGGCGGATCACACCAGCACTCAGTCATCGTGTTGGCATGTTATTACAGTAATCCATCAACCTTCTCCAGGTTTGGAAAACAATGTTTCCTCTCAGGTCGATTATGTCTGTTATAATCCACCAATAAAACACAACGTATTCAGCAAACATGAACTGTGTGCATATGTCTTAATGAGGAACGTCATCGTACATCCATTGGATGTCAAACACAACTGTCATGAGAACAAGACATGTGCTGTAGATGAGTTCAGATAACATGCTGCATATAAACCTGGAGCTCAGAAAGAGAAACATATTTTGACACGATGGATCTCGCACTGCTTGTGCTCCTGCTCGCGGCTCCCGCGCACACCTGGCTGGTAAGAGGCTTATGATTATCTTTCATTCATTGCTTAACCATTTCCAAAGATTCGATTACTTCGAGAGCTACGACCGAAGAAACTGAGCTATGACCGAAGCAACCGAAGTGATTCGCATCGAGTTCGCCAAACTTCAGAGGAAACTGGAGAAATGTCAGGATGATGCATATCCTAATATAACATATCCTAATGCTAAGATGAATAAACCCATAATGTTTTTCCAGTCTCTAGAGGACTGGGGCTCTGGCAGAGTCGAGGGCTCCGTCGGGGAGTTTGGACAGTGCGTTTGCAACGTGTTCCTGCCCGATACTTCATTCCCAGCGGACCGTGTGGAGCAGATGCAGACGTCCTCGAGTCAGCTCTCGGTAGAGATCAAACTCCACATCAGCAAGGTAGATTTATGGTGGATTTTAAGCAGATTTTATATTCAACCCTGTGTTATTTTAGCATCAATTAGATGGTTTTTTTTAATAATTTTTATTAATTTAAAGTTATGATTGAATTAAATACAACTATATAGACATTTAAAATATAATTATTTTTATTCATTTGTAGTTATTTTAGTATATCAAGTTTATGAATATCAAGAAATGTTTCCTTAATTTTATTCCAGTTAATGTTTATTTTATTCCAGGTAACACATAGATGTTTTATTTATTTTTTATGGTTTTAGTTTTAGGTAACTATAATAACCCTGGACCCAACACTAGGGGAATAGCGATACCCTCGTGTCTCGATTCGATACATATCACGATACGATATTATCCAAGACATATGGTAAAAGTTAACAAAAAATGTACTGTTGATTAAAATGCTAAATTTGGTTTTACATTGAGTGTGTAAATGAACAGGGTTGACTTGGTGCTGGAAACCCACTGAACAGGACAATAGAGACAGCAGAATAACAATATTCATGATTCTGAAGCTGAAAATAGAGATGAATATGATGATCTCTGTCACTGACTTATATATATATATATAGATTATTTAGTTTCTTAATGCCTCCATTGGTTTTAAGTCATCTCAATGAATTTGATGGCTTTCTGCAGGCTTTCTATCGTTTACAGCACAGACCATGTTCATCCGTGTCGTATTTTCTTTGACCTAGTGTAGTTTTGTTGGTGTTTTTTTTGAGGATGATGAGTGTCACACAAGTTGTCCATATTTGATTTGACAAGTTCTACCAACTGACAGAAGAGTTTGTGATCGAACACACAACCGTTGACATCGACAACTAAAGATATTCTCCATCTTGCTGTTAAAAGTGCATTTTGCTATGCTAATCATCTACTTCTCATTTTTTAGTAATTGTATTTAATGTGTTCAGGTCAGCAGTCTGAAAGTTCAGCTAGTCATTCTTCTCGGCCAGCTGTCCAACCTGACGGGTCGCGTGGAGAGTCTGGAGAGCGGACCGGACAAGTACATCAAACTAGAGTTCGAGCTCCTCCGCATTGAGCTCAGAGAGTTTGAGTATCTGGTCACGCAACTGAAGACTTCTCTAAACTCCTCTTCACCCGCCTTCGAGAGTCTTTTCATCGAGGTGAAACTTCCTTCACTTATCCAAAACATACAGCATTATAGTGTCTGCATGGCTCTAATCTGTTTTCTTCTTTTGTAAGATTCGCAATATGAGTTTAATTGTGGATCAACTGGAGAGCTACGACCGAAGCAACTTAGAAGTGATTCGCATCGAGTTCGCCAAACTTCAGCGGAAACTGGAGAAATGCCAGGATGATAAGGATGACTACTCTAATGCACAAATAGGTAGGCTAATACTCATTTCTGAGCAAATTATGATATACACCTTTGGCTCATTTGAAGTCATATGATATATGTAAGAAGGATTTTATTATTTTTAAAGTGCGTAGGGCTCTAGTATCTAGGGTTAGACGATTTTGGAAAATAATCTAATTGTGTGTTTTTTTTTAACCAATATTGCGATTTAATTAGGGCTGTGCAAAAATTAATTGTGATTAATCGCATCCAAAATAAAAGTCTGTGTTTACATAATATATTTGTGTGTGCTGTATATAATTATTTTGTATATATAAATACCTATGCATGCATGTATATATTTAAGAATTATTTGCGCTTAAATTCTGTATATATATATATATAAATACATAATCTATATTATATAAATATAAATATTTTATATATGAATAACACATTTTCTTAAATATATACATGCATGTGTGTGTTTTTATATATACAAAATAATTATATACAGCACACACAAATATATTATGTAAACACAGACTTTTATTTTGGATGCGATTAATCGCAATTAATTTTTGCACAGCCCTAGATTTAATACAAGATTACTTTTGAAGTTCTTTATCTTTTGTATTATTTCGACAAAGACAAGCAATAAATCATTGTATAGTAGGGATGGGAATCTTTAGGCACCTCATGATCTACATTTTTTTCCTAATGTTATTAAAAACACTTCAAATATTTAATTACATGTGTAATAGAGCTTGACCGATAAAGGATTTTAAAAGCCGATACCGATGGTTTTAAAATCCGATATATCGGCCGATATTTTATTATTTATTTTTTTTTATTTCAGAAACGATGATAAGAGATGATACGTGTCATTGCTATAACTGTCACGCACTATTAAATAAATACGTCAGTCACATTGTCAAAACTTAAAAGGACAGTCAGTCAACTACACTGTAACAACGTAACGTAACTATTACTAGCTAATTCCGCTTCACTCTCGGCTTATTTAACAGCAGCAAAACTGGACATGACAGTCAATATAGTCAACGACTGTGTAGAGTGCCCTCTGGTGGACAAACTCTACAACTCCAACACTCATGGCATGGCTCAAGCGAGTTTCGTCCGTTTTTATTTTATTTTTGAAATATTCATTTATCGGCCATTATAACCGCAGATACCGATATTTTGGAAAATGCCTAATATCGGCCTGCCGATATATCGCTCTGGCTCTAATGTGTAATATTTTTTAAAAATTATTAAAAAAACCTGTTACATGATAAGAATTATATAAATAGGCTATATAAATATAGCTTCAAAATATAAAAGCTAGTAAATAGAGGAAGAAGCAGAATATGAACTAACTCATTCTTAGTTCATGTTAGCTAATGCATTAATGTTAACAAATTAAGTGTTTTTGTCTAAAATCTCCTAGGGTCCTGTAAGCATGGAGGCATTCTCAGGATTGGAAAACCCGTGGTCAGCCAGCTAAACGCAGACTTGAATGCAGGTTTCAAGTATGGAGGATGGGGTAAAGACTCCAAGCCCTTGCCTGGCTCTGAGAACATGCACTGGTACTACGGCTTTACGGACACTCTGGTCTCTAAAATCACACTGTACTCTGACTACTACAAGCTGATCATGAGACAGGTCTTTAAGAAACATGAGCTTTACGACAGATATAAATATGATTGGCAAGGCACTGGAAACAACTACATTGTGCGAGAAAACACCTTGTACTATCAGTTCAGACCCACTTTTGCTATGGCAAAGTTCAACATGACCAGTGCGACAGCTCAGTACAAGGCGATTCCCAATGCCAGCACTAGATTCTCATACCATTACTCGGCCAACCAGAACCTGGACTTCGCAGCCGATGAGTCGGGCTTGTGGGTAACTTACGCCACGGAGGAATCGAACGGTAACCTGGTTTTAGGGAGGATCAACGAGGAGACATTTGAAGTAGAGCAGGTTTGGCAGACCAGCGAATACAAGCAGTCAATCACAAACGCATTCATGATATGCGGCGTTCTGTACGCGACCAGGTCAGTAGATACCCAAACAGAGGAGATCTTTTACACCTATGACACCAATAAAGACGAGGAAAGCCACGTTAGCATTCGCTTCGAGAAGTTCCAGGACTTTTACGTGAACCTGGACTACAATCCTGCCGATCAGAAGCTTTACATGTACAACAACGGATACTATGTGTATTATAATGTGAAGTTCAAGGCTGCTTAGATAAACAACCGCTTTCAAACTTTACTGATAATTGACAATGTTATATTTTACAAATATTACAATAAAATTATACACAAGCATCACCTCTTGCATGTTCTTGTGTCAAAGTTGTGCAAAACTTTACGTTTTGTGAAACATCCAAAGCTTAAAAGCTGACAGTATACACTAAAGTGCCTCAGCTGTCATATGAAAATACATATTAAACATATAAACAAACTCATGCTGTCAACAGCCAGTCTTTTCTTCAAAGTTTTAGGATTTTGACTTGCCATTCATGACTGCTGATAAACTAGATGAATAAAAAAGGTCTTTAAAACAAACATAGTCTTGAAGTGTGGACGTGCAAGCATCTGGACTGGTCTCTTTGCACACAATGCATGCTGGGAGATGCAGCCCAGTACATCCTCAGAGTGTTTCTGCATCACCGGCAAACTTACCTTATACAAGAGCGTGCATGATCACAAACGCTCTCAGTTCCAGCATTAGAACAAGCCAGTGATGAGGCAAACAGAAATCAGCGGCGCTTGGTGATTTTAGTTGTGTTTCTGTAAGAAAAAACATAAAAAGTAATATTAAAAAGAGCCATGTGCAGAGTGAATCTAAATTTGGTTGTCAGTTCACCTTTAAGAGCTTAATCCCATTCTGTATACAGATCAGTATTTTATGGGAGTGAAAACCGCATTCTTCAACCAAATTAATTATCAAATACACATTATGAAGGGATAAAATGGTGTGTTCAGACAAGTGCTATGGTAAATACTAGGGGTGTAACAATACACAAAACTGACGGTTCGGTTTTCCCACGGTTTTGACGTCTCGGTTTGGTTTAGAAAGCTAATTTTATTTTTTAACAGTAGTTTAATGAAAAAAATGTCTTTGTCTTTAAATTAATTCAATTACAATTAAAACATAAAACGTATAAACATACATTAAATAATCAAGATATCATTAACAGGTAAAGTAAAACACAATATAGAATAAAACATAGTGCATTTATTTAATTCCTAGGAAGTTGGAAAAAAGTTGTGGACTCTGAATCACTTGCCTGTTGAGGTAACGTTAAATATAATGCTAGTGACAAGCTATGCTGTTTTATTGACGTCTTTCTGCTGCTGAAACACTGATTGAGTGATTACACGAGTTATGATGCCTTTCAGTAAGTATACTATATCTTTCAACTAGGGGTGGAGCCGAATCCGAATACGGTATTCGGAAAGGCACAAATAATGTGTTTTTTACGAATACTTATTCCGAACAAATACTTAAAAATATATTTGTATTCGGGAACAAGAAATACTTTATATCAAAAAGCTGCGTTCCTCCGCAGTGCGCGAGTTGAGTGAGTGACGTTCAGGAAGAGTTGACTGACACAGGCTGCTCCACACAGCAACAGAGAGGGCTCGGCTGAGCGAAAAAATCACTTAACTGCATCACTATTTTTGTTGAATAGTTGTTTGTACCTTAACTAGGTTCCGGAGGCAGTTTATAACTTTCGGGAAGCGGAGTTTGATCGGGAGTATATTCCATTATTGACGTCTGCAGACGGGTGCTCTGCTGTTCGCTCTGTTTACGTAGCTCTGTTAGCTCGGTAACGGTAATTATTTGTTTCTTATATGGCTTGGTTGAATTCTAATGTAGAATGCGGTCTGTTATTATAACATGCCGCTGCTTATAAGTATAACACACCGTTGCCATGAAAAACAGAGCGTTGCCATGGATTCTAAATGTAGAGACAGAACGGACTATTTTTCTTCTTTAGCGGAGGCGATACAATCGTTTTTTAAATCCACAAACTCCTTTTTATATCCATATTTTGAGTCAAATTATTGATTTATTTGGTATAGCCATATAATAAGCGGGGTAATGTAGAGCGAGGCAGCGAATACAAAGCCTTCAGGCTTCGCGTCGGGCTCATAACCTCCTCACTATAAATTATCCCTAAACTTATTCTGTCTACTCAGCGTCCTCCACCGTGGTGTTGGGGTTCATAATGTTCACAATTGTATTTTATTAGTTGTTGGTTTAACCATGGTTCATGAGGTAATGGATGACTGCTATTTTCTTTTCAATGACTTTTCTTGTTACATGTTCATTGCTGGATTTATAGAAAAACATCAACCAATATTGCATATACATAATTATTAATGGATATAATTAAAGAAGTCATACACTATAAAGTATTTTTAAAGATTTTTATGCCTATTTTGAATTTCACTCGAATACAAATACAAATACAAATACTTTTCCTCCCTGAACAAATACAAATACAGATACAAATACCGGCTGCTTTGCACACCCCTACTTTCAACATACCTTCAGGTGTCCATTCTGTAACTGATGAAGAGATGATCGCGTTTACTCGCGCGCCGTGCTGCCGCTTGAAATGAGGACCTAGTAAGTGATCTGCACGCCACATCAAAGAGCGCCAAAACGCCATTTTTACCGACGTCACGTTCTGGGCGGTAACCCGGATGAGCGGCCATTATGGAGGCACTCAGATGTAAACAACAGCATGGAATGCACTACTGAACACATTTTTACACTAAAAAAACACAACATCCGTGGCAGGTGTGAAATCATATAGAGAAGGACATATCAAGCAGGAATGAGCGCAATATTTTGACAAATTAAAGTTAATTTGTGGTAAAGGTCCGAATGAGCTAGCTTCTCTAGCCCATAGGCTAATGCAATTCTTTACTCTATTTCTTATCCCGACATAGGCTACATTCAGATTACCAGCCCAAAAAGCACATGAAATCCGTTTCAAGCTACATCGATATGTTGTTTGAAAACCTATTCAAATACCAGGACAAATGCCTCAGTCTGAACGATCGGATTCCAGGAACATTTAGCTTGCAGGACATTTCCAGTTTCGTTTAACATTCTTTACATACAGGGTTCAAATCTGGACACTGAGAAGGCCATTGCAAAACTTTCAAGTGGTCATTATGGTTTTTTTTAAAGAATACACTATTATATATTTATGTTTTATTTTCTAAATTTATGCACAATTTCTCCAAACATTGTAAGAAAGTTGTGATCATAAAATAACAATAATCCGTTGTGCGCACAATACATTTACACAAGAGTCACAATATAATGAAGGCAGATTTGCATAGAAAGCTTGAATTGCCTTTTCAGCACCAGAGTATTCTTCATAAAGGCCAGATGTTGTCACAGTCTTATGTTGTAAATTCTGTAATCTTATGCAAAAGATTATTTAGGTTTAATATTTACAGCATTCATGGAAAATTCTAGAACAGGCTGTCTGATTTAGAAAATTCAGTTACAATGTGAAACAACAAAACTAGAAAATGAATTATTAATGATAATAAAAAAATAGAAAAAAATCACTTAAAAAACAACACAGCACAAACAAAAACAGAACTGGACAAACAAGAATGGAGAAATGGAGAAATGGAGAAAGAAAGAAAGAAAGAAAGAAAGAAAGAAAGAAAGAAAGAGGGCTTACTTAATTAAAAGAAATGTAAACATTAATTAAGGTAAAAAGTTTGTAGGTTGTGCAAATTGTAAATGTTCTGAGTGCTTTGGGTTAAGAGAGGATGAAACTGCAATCAAGTAATGTTTTATCTTCTATAAAAAAAGAAATTTTTTTTAAAAAAACTTACATTCATGAATATAAAATCTACATAGGAAAATAATTAGATTTATTATAAAGCAGGCATTTGAAATCTCAAAATAACAGTTTTGGGATTCATTGAGAAATTTTGCAAGATATTGCTTGAGATAAACCGACTAAAAACGAATAAACCGATCTTTCCAAAGCTATAACAAGTGCAGAAGAATTTCACTCATTGACAGAAAGAGCAATAAGTGTCAAAATATTATTATAAATATTATTATAATATTATAAATATTATTAATTAATTTGAAATATATTTATTTTACTTTGATTGTGAGGAAAACCATTTTTTTGTAGTATGGACCACATATTTTTCCAAAATACATGATCAAAAAGTCCATTTCAATATGAGAGCGAGGAGGGCCAGAGTGTTCTCAGAGAAACTCTTGTACCCTGTATAATTTCCTCCTTTCTACCCAGTGAAACGTTTTATAGTTACAGCATCCAGGGTGAGCAAGCGGCGTGCTGACGTCACCGGAGGGGGGGGGGGGGGGGTCTCGATCCGCCAATAGGAAGCGTTTGCGTTTTCTGCTTCCTGGTGTTGATGATGCGGACGGAGCGGATGCTGAGGATGAGGATGAAGATCTCGCGCAAGGTTCGTTTTCTGTTCCAAGTGGAATATATCACTCATAACAGCGCATAATAACTGTCAATAACATAATATTCTACCTCAAATACAGGCGCTGTTTAATATTGCAATGTTAATAGTATTTGCTGGGAAAGATCATCGTCATTTAAGGGGGTCGCGGTGACGTCACACGCGTTTGAGACTGCTGGTGATTAGCTTCACGCGTTCATGTTATTGTGTTCCAGAACATCACCATAATTTATCCACAATTATTTAAAGGAATATGGGATCGCCCTGTGTAAGACGGGTCTCAGTTGTAGTAATTGTGTCTCGAGCCTTATTGTGATTTATTGCAGTAATTATAGTATTTTTGTAGAAACTATGAATACCCTTGGTAAATTATGTTGAGGGAACTTCAGTTATTTTCCCTTGCTGTTCTGACTCTCATTGGGAAAAAGGTTTTTGAAACAGTGATGTGCCACACCTCGTCATATTTTAGTAATTGTATGCCTCTTACAGTGTTATTTTAGTATTTTTGATTAGGTTTTAGTCCCCAAGGTACTAATGTGCATTTATGACATTAATACTGCAATATTTTAGCTGCTTTGTATCGTAAAAAGAGCTGTTAAATCAACTTGATGTAAAGTGCTTTGTTAATAAACATTACAGGATCGCAGTCATTCTTCATCGGAAAACACTGAGTATTTCTTAGTCTCTGTTTGAGTATGAAGTGCATATGAACTTTTGCGTTTGGTTTTATTCAGGATAAAGCCTCTTCCGCACCATGATCAGATGGAAACACTCGGCTGCTTTATGTGACAGAAGTCAGGGCTCGCAAAGGTGAGTCGTGCTTTCTGTTTAATTTCACAAACTATCAGTATTATAATGAACAGTAGGGCTGAGTACCGAATTTGGTACTTTTTAGGTACTGACCGAATTGCCTCGGTACTACCCAGTATCGAAACATCGTCTTATCGAAATATCGTCTTGTTTTTCGGTACCGAATTTCGGTACCCAAGTGGTCAAACCCGGGTCTCTCACACCAAAGGCATGTGTCTTATCCACTGCGCCATCACCAGAGACGTAACTTGTCGCACGTGAGGCTGTAGTGTGTGTGTGTGTGTGTGTGTAAGCGTCCCAACCCAGATAGATAGAAAATATGTGGAAATTATCCAAAGTGTACCTATGTGCCAGACTCGATGCCAGAAGCATGCGATGCAATATTTTCGACAAGATAACTGCCGCCAAGACCGGTAACACGGTAAATCTGATCTGCGCACAGACACTTGAGAGTATAGCCTGAAGTTTATTCGTCTTCGACTGCAAGAACTGGAGCGTGTCGCAAATGAACCGAAACTCATAGGCATACTTGCTTCATAGACATCAGAAATAGGCCTATAGATGGTCAAAATATGTCTACTTTAAAACGAAACAATTAGAAATAAATAGTTTGATTACCTGATCCATATAGGCGCGCGCATTCACTACTGCAGGAATGACGAGTCAGCGTCGCCATAATCATATTTGCAGCCAGCACACTTACTAAACACTTGTCCATTAATACATAAATAAATGTGTGAAAAAATACATACAATTATACATAAATAAGGAAATAAAAGTATACATACTCATTTGTACTTTTTTACATTTCTTTGTATATTTATTTCTGTATTTTTGCTTTTTTACATTTCTTCGTATATTTATTTATGTATATATTTATTTTTAATTAAGTCACCTTTGGCATTCCATATGCATGGCGTGGCAAGAAATAAAAACGTGGACATAAACGTAAACATACTGTAGACTTACACAACAGTAATCACAGGAAACAATATTTGACAAAACTCGAGGCTTAAATGTACAAGACTAATGACTAGACAAGGGACACCTGTGAACAATTAACCAATGACAACATGGCAGGATCACATGACTTTGAACAGAGGATCACATGACAGACATGAAACATGACAAAGACCAAATCGTGACACACTGTAAAAAAAAAATGTGTTCAATTTACGGTAAAATACCAGCAGCTGTGGTTGCCAGAAATTTACCGTATAAAATACGGTAGCAAGAATTTACGGTATTAAGGTTTTACAGGCTTAACTTAAAATGTATGGAAATAAACCGTATTTAGTTATCTGATATACTGTTAAATTATCGACCATTTGAAGTGTCAATATCTGTTTTATACCATTGTAATTTTTACAGTCTTTTACTGTTAAAATCAGGATCTTTTTTACAGTATTACATTAATAAAATTAAAGGTTTTTTTTGGTAACATTAGTTATGTCCAACAGCTGGATTTTTATTAAAAAAAAGATTAATAAATACGGTAACAAATGTTTTGTAAATTGTTAGTTCATATTAGTTAAAACATTAACTAATGTTAACTACTTATTGTAAAGTGTTACGTATATCTGTGTTGCGCAGGTGGACACTGGCCTCCACATGTGTGTGAACGCAAGAGAGACCAGAGGCCTTCTGGAGGGTTATTAATCACCGGAAATGTGCCACTTTAGAAGTGTTTTCACAACAACAGATCCATCGGCTGGTTCTGGTTCCTGTGGACATTTGCCCTTTCTAACCGATAGACAAACATGGCAAAGAAAGACTACCTGCTCGATGCAGCCCAGCAGATTCGAATGGCGCTGGACAGAGAAGTCAATGAAGATTATGAGGCGGCGTTCAGCTACTATAAGAATGGAGTCGATCTGCTGCTCAATGGAGTTCAAGGTACTGTTATTACATAATTATATAGATTATATACAGTAGTGACTGAAAATTATTACTGACAGTGTGAAAAACACATTTTTGCACTGTCGACCGTTGTTGACTTATTAAGTGCAAACTCATTGCTTTGATTCACTTCTAATGTTTCATTTATTTGCATTCAGTCAAGGTAAGCAGAAGTCAAAAAGTGATTATTCTTTACTTATCCTCAGTGTTGTCAGTCACCAAACTTTCAGTTATCGTTTCCAATCCTAGTAAAAAAATCATCTATCAATTTCAGTATCATAGAAAAACTATTTAAATGTAACTATTTGGAAATAAATGTTACAATCAGGTTCATTAGTTAACAGTAGTCGATGCATTAACATGAACTAACCATGAGCAATATATTTGTTACAGTATTTATTATTCTTTGGTGTTTGTTCATGTTAGTTCAAAGTGCATTAGCTAATGTTAACAAATACAACCTTTGATTTTAATAACATGTTAGTAAATTTTTAAATTAATATTAACTAAAATTATAAAACGCTATAGAAGTACTGTTCATTCTTAGTTGATGTTAACAAAGGTAGTTAACTAATATTAAATAATGAACCTATTGTAAAGTGTTTTTAATGAAATGTTTATGCTGATAATAACATTCTAAGTACGTAATAGATGTGTCAGGTTGGGGTGGAAGGAGTAATTGAAGCGATATATGATTTTAAAATAATACAAAAGAAGACAACGAACACGGATATGAAACCCAACGATGAGAAAAGACATGCATGGAGAAGAGCGAACTGAAACACGGGCCTGAAAATAGACAGAGTAAATGAGGAAGTAGAAAAGTCACAGGTGTAAAACACAGAAAACCTTAGAGATCAAGGCAACCATGAAAACAGAAGCTAAACCACAGGGCCGTCGAAGACACATTAAAACAGCAGGTTGCCTTTTTCAGCTAAATAAACATTGCTTTGAAGGTGGAAAACCAGTAACAACAAACACATTGCTGGTAACAGAACAAGTGCACTGCCAGAGTTTTTCATCAATTCGTTGCTAATGTTGTTATCACCATGTCAATCATTTCAAAGTTTTGGAGGGGGCATAACTTTAGTGTTACAGAGGTCAGTCAGTATAAACAACATTTATTGTGAGCCATGACACAAAGACGGTCAACCACTGTGTTTAAAACAAATTAAATAAAAATTAAAAAATATGGTTTTGCAATACAAATACATAGAGGGAATCACTCAAAAAACACCTCTAATTGTTGTGTATTTCCAAAATAAATACATTAAAGTCCACAAATAAATGTAGTGAATTTAAACAAATTCAAACCCAATATAACTTATGTCCAAACAAAACTTTTGTCCAAACAAAAATATAACTTATATTTGCATAGATTAGTGGTCTCAAACTCGTGATTTGAGGCCCGCGGCGTGGTATTTTGTGATATTTATTTTAATGTTAGTGCGGCCTGTCGTGCCATTTTGAATTTTTTTTTTATTCTTATGGGCTACCTCGTGACAGCTTTTTTTTATTGACAGGGTTTGTTGTCAATAGAGTCATAGACAACCGCAAAGTACAAACATACTGCGCCTGGAAAAAAATAGCGTGTCGCTTCAAATATGAGCGCGCTTGCCGCGTGCCTACATTTGAAATAACGAACTTGAGCGTTCAAAATATGTGAGCGCGTTATGGGAACAGGCCCCTTGGCGAGCTCCCACCAATCAGGGCCGGGTTTCCCGATAACGATGTATCTTAGCTCTTAAGAGCGCTCTCTACGTGTAAGGTTACGAACGCTCGCAGCAATTACACGTGCAAGAACACGTTCTACGTGCTACTTAAGCGTCGCTATCCATTCGCGAAATGCTGAAACCTATATGGACCTATATGAAACCTAAACCTATATGAAACCTAAATGCTAACCTTATATGGAGTCGTATTCTGAACGTTTAACCTAATAATCGTCATTTGTTGTGGATTACAAAATCAAGACAAGTCTATAAGGATATAAAACACCTAAACAGGCTGGCAAAATGGCTGAACAAAAACAAAAAAACAAGAGAAGATACCTTTCAAAAAGATAAAATTAATGTCCTTCCAGAGGACCATACAAATGAGGAAAAACAAAACATCTGGAAGGATATGTCACATTGCAAACTAACTGCAACCGTGTTCAAAGATCAGGGAAGGAGGTCCGCAAGAAATGCCCAATCCATGGCTGTTTTTTGTGCACGTCAGCAAGTCACTGACAGATTTTTTTTAATTCATCCCTATTTTGCCCGGTCTTTAAAGCATATTTCCCAGATGACTTATTTTACGATTTTCAATCGTTTAATTTAGATGTGTATTTCTATTTTTTCTTCCCTTTTTAATCATTTAATGTATTAATTTAAACAAAACACGAGTACAACAAAGTGTACAATCAAAACCTATATATTATAGGCTACTTACGTTGCAGTGTAATCTATTGAATCTAGATAAAAGTGTAATCTGCCGGTTGTCCTGCAGGTGACCTCATAACTCGGTCATCTTACGATGCACTCGGGGATGTACGATTACTCCAGAGCACTCGTAGTTCTACGAAGATTTTCAAGTTCTACGATGCTTTTGGGAAACAGAGCATAATATTAAGATCATTCGTACGATCGTTTTTACGATCAACTTAGGCTTACGATGCTTTTGGGAAACGCAGCCCAGGACACGAGCTACTGGTAGTTCACGAGCGAGTTAGAGACCCCGCTCTAAAACAATGTGAAAATAATCATTTAATACGGAAATATGCCTTCCAAAAAACATTCAATATCATATTAATGTGTTGTATAAAGATAAATAACGTATAAATAAAAAGGACATGAGCAAATATAAGTATCACAAAGATGTGTTATAAGGAAAAGAAAAATAATGTTTGTAAAATTAAGTATCATAAAGATGTTCTGTATAAGGAAAAGGACAGCTCATGAAGAACCAATCATGTACAGAAAGGAATATTCAAATTTAAAGGAACAGTTCAGACCAATGTTAATAATAAAGATTGAGAAGATTGGATCAGTTGTGCTCCTTTTTTGGAAAACTTGAATGCAATTTTTTTTTGTGGAAAACTTGATGCGGCCCGGCCTGACCGCCAGCGGCCCCAGTTCAGTTGAGTTTGAGACCCCTGGTGTATATATGGTTCAAAACCATCCAGAGTTTTGAAAAGCGTTTCACCCGTGATAATATCCTATGAAAAGTGAAAGAGAAAAGAAGCAAGCATAGGTTAATTTGTAATGAGAGCGAAACATAATTTAAATCCTTGCATCCTCTGTTGTTTGATCATTTTGATAATTACATGATTTGGATTGGAAAAGTCTGCTAAAATGGCAGATCTAGATAACATTAAAACTGTGTTTAGCAAAGGGTCGATCATTGATCTCCACGCTAATGCAGAGTCGTCCGTGTCTTACAGTGGATCCGAATAAAGAGAGACGAGAAGCCGTAAAGCGGAAGACCACTCAATATCTGAAGCGAGCCGAGGAGATCTTCATCTCTTACTTACAGGACAACATCTCTAAAGGATCCACACATTTAGGAGTAGGTGACAAATGTGCACGATGAGATCTTGCTGAAGATGATTTTTCTCTTTTGATTTGAGTTTTTTCTCCTATGACCAAACTCCCAAAATTCACCCCTTAAACCCCAATAATCAAATAGCTGAGCAACCACTGAATTGAATAACACAAAATGTTATTTTAAAGCTTAGAAACTCTCTGTACTGTCCATGTATAATTTTAATCATCAAATAATAATCACATTTTTCAAAACTACTGCCTTGAACAACACAAATTCAGTGTCATTTGAAAGCTTAGAATCTGAACTTTTCAATTTGCTAAACTCCTAAGTTGTGCTGAGTTATTTGCTGATACATAAAAAAACTTTTGATTTTATGAGTCCTTACTTTTGTGTATGCCACTCTAAAACTCTACAAATGTGAAAATGCTATTATTCAGTAACTTTATTCACTTATCTAAAGTTTAACTTGAAGAAATTGTAACAAAAATATCTTACTATTATAGAGTAGAATGTAGTTAGTAATACTCGCAGTAATAGTAATAAAAATGTAATTTTAACAGTAAACAAACAATTTCTAAAAAGATAAAATATAAAATCTATTTGTTTTATGAATTCAATTGATTAGACATGCATTTTTTATTACTAAAATGCCTCAAATATGTAATTAAATACACACACGCATATATATATATATATATATATATATATATATATATATATTAGGGCTGTGCAAAAATTAATTGCGATTAATCGCATCCAAAATAAAAGTCTGTGTTTACATAATATATTTGTGTGTGCTGTATATAATTATTTTGTATATATAAATACCTATGCATGCATGTATATATTTAATAATTATTTGCGCTTAAATTCTGTATATATAAATAAATACATAATCTATATTATATAAATATAAATATTTTATTTATGAATAACACATTTTCCTAAATATATACATGCATGTGTGTGTATTTATATATACAAAATAATTATATACAGCACATACAAATATATTATGTAAACACAGACTTTTATTTTGGATGCGATTAATCGCAATTCATTTTTGCACAGCCCTAATATATATATATATATATATATATATATATATATATATATACAGTATATACATACTACATAAAATATATAATAAATGGAATTTTCGCACAACATGAAATGAATTTCATGGGGCTCTAAAAATTGAATTTGTTTGATTTTTTTAATTAATTGTTCAATTAAAATTGGAGTCCATTTAAGGCGGACGGCTCTTGGCCAGAATAAGCTGCAATGTGAACCAGATTTTTGCTTTTAGTTAATATCCTGACTGTGTTTTTTTCTCTGACACATTTTATTCTCCTGGTCATCAGGGTTATAGTAGCTTACGGTTTCGGTCGATCAGACATCTAAGTTCGCCGGTGGAGAATCTGGCGATGTGTAAAGTGGTTGGCATCATTGATAAGGTACAGTGTGTTCATGCTTCTTACAACTACTCAGCAGTTCTCTATATGCCAGGACATTAAAGTCATTGGAAGTGCAATAGTTATTAATGTGTGTTTTTCACAGGTGCTGACGGTTGAAAGTCTGATAAGCAAGGAGACATTTGTTGTAAAGGTAAGCATTTGAAACAGAAGCATCCTGGTGTATGGGCTCCTTTCAGAAGTGAGACACTGTGTTGCTGTGTGGGCTGTTATTACTGCCAGTCTGCTTGGATTGATCCTGTTAAAAGCGGCTGTGTCTAAATCTGAGTACAGACTCGTCTCGGGTTACTGAAACCAGACACTTGAGATATTAGAAATGGCCAGTTATAGAGACAGGTGGACAAAACAAAGAAACCAGAAACCAGCAAACACTACAGGAAATACAATAAATACTAGCATGCTGTTTAAATAATGTGCAATTTCAATTCAGAGCAAATTTATTTGTATAGCGCTTTTCACAATACATATTGTTTCAATAATATATCATTATTTTTCTGCATTACAGTAATGAAAATTCGATTTTTTTTACATTTTTGTTATTAAAAGAAATACTCAACTTAGCAGTCCAGAAATCACATTAATTTCGTTATAATGCCACAGGTCTGTTACATTTATGCATTTAGCAGATACCTTTTTCCAAAGTGACTTACATTGCATTCAAGCTATACATTTTTTTTCCAATTCATGCATTCACTGGGAATCAAAGCAATGTCCTTGTCGTTGTTAGTGCCATACTCTACTGTTTGAGTTACAAAGCAGAAATGTTTAGGGATGCACGATATATCAGCCACCATATCGGTATCGGAACATTTTGCAGATATATTAAAGCCGATAAATAATGTATTTTCTTTCAGCTGAGACACATCAGATGTGCACTGTCTGACATGATGGTTATAAATTGCTTGAAATATGATTGGAATCACTTTGAAAAAGGAAAATACAGTAAAGTGCAGCATGTACAGCGCAAGTCTGTCATATCGACTACATGAAATTATAATGAGAACATCATAATTGTGTGCCTGGGACATGGATTTTAATGGTGAGACTTTTTGTTTTTGTAATCAGGCTCTCAAAAATTATTTGTGGATTTAGATTTTTCAGCCAATATATAGATTATCAAATGTAAAGAATTATTTGTTATCGGTATCGGCCAAAATGTTCATATCAGTGCATCCCTTTGTTGTTTTTTTTGTTTTTTAGCAAAGCACAAGTGACCCTGTTCTTATAGTTATGGAGCTGAATGTATGAAACAAGCCATAGAATTTGGTTAAACCAAGCTATCTTACAAGTCATCATACTAAAAAGTAGGGCTGGGTAATAAATATCGATTTCTCGATATTAATCGATTCTCATATTTATGAACCGATATCGATTCTTAAATCTCAAGAATTGATTAGTCGTGAATGAATGGATCATTGTATCGCGGCTGCGCGCATCCAAAACATCACAATAATCTTTGTCCTTTGTTACTATTGATATGAAACAAAGTCTCAATTTTCAAATTACGTCCATTTTCTTTAGAAATTCAAAAACATAAATAATGTTTTGGCGCTGTGGCGTGAGATCGCTCTGGAGAAGCAGCAGCGCTGATCTCTCTTCCGGCTTAATAATACCAGTCACAGCGCCAAATAAACATGAATGAGCATCTGAAAGTGTGTTAAAGATAGAGTACAACTTATCGAAATCCGTTCATGTCACATTGATTCGCTCAATCAGCGTTTCAACCGTGGAAAGACGTCAGTTAAACAGCTTGTAATCAATGTCATGTATCGTCATATTTACCTCAGAAAACCCACATCAACTCGTTAGTCAGCTAGAAAAAATAACTCTAGAGAGAAGCATTTTGCTAAATATGTACACCATATTACATATGCATTATAATCTTAATGTTCTTCAATATTTAATGCATATTTGAATAAATCTGGTAAGTTTTTATGACAGCCACCATGTAAATGTTTATATTTTATATAATCTTCTTATTATAAAAATAAATAAAAGTATAGCTACAAAACAGTTAATTATTACCTTCATATTAGGGTAATGAAACCTAGTAGGCTACAACTAGACTCACATAGTTTACAGCATTTGATTTCCTTGAGAAAATTTGCCATTTATTGGAACTGATATCCAAAATAATCAATATTGAATCGAATCGGAATCGAAATCGAATCGAATTGCAAGCTTGTGAATCGAAATCGAATCGAATTGTGAAATTTGTGTCAATACCCAGCCCTACTAAAAAGGCAGTACAGTCATGCCAACGCTGCCTTCCTTTTGGAACAGACTATGGTGTCAGGAGCTCATTAATGTTGCCCTAAAAGGCTATCTAAAGAGGCAGCTCACTAGAAAGGGCCTAATTCTGGTGCGAAACATTCTGCTTTCTGGACAGAGTTTACCGAAGTCGAGCTGGGAGAGCCGTGAGAGGTCCACCATCATTCCTCAGGGAGTGCCCTTCATGGTGAAGCTGCTAAAATACTATGTCAGTGAAGACACTGTGTTCCTCCATCTAGAACGTGTTCAAGGTGAGCTTCACTATTCACAATGTGTATTCGTTTCAGCAGTTCGACATAGTATATCCCCTGTGAACAAGACAAATGTGACAGAGGCAAGGACAAACTTCACCGGTGTTGATGAGGAAGAAACAGGAGCCAAGATCCTGCTGGGGAACCCAACCATCATATTCAAGGAATATGAGAATCGTCTTTGTTCAGTCCACACTTATGCATCTCAAGCATCACCCAGAAGGCTATTCCAGAGCTTAGGATCCATATATGATAAGACCCTACATGCTCTCGATTTTATGAGTTCTATCAAAAGGTCATATCTAATAGAAGATATTTTAAGTACTGAAAACAACAGACATGTTAAAATAGGAGAGAGAGAGATGATCAAATTTTCTAAATCTCTACTTTTGTAACATACCATCTTGGATTACAAAAGACAGAATGAAATCATTGTAAAGAGGTAGGGTACCATCCGTTGAGTTTTGCAGTGATTATATTTAAGTGCCAGACAAGTAACATCAAACGTGTTCACACTCCACGCAAACACATACCATATTTACATATCAGTTCAATCATTTATGTGATAGAAAAACCTGAGTTTCCAACGCAGTTTGTCACAAGTCCACCGTTCTCAAAGTCAATGATGGCGGCACGATGATTTCAGTCAATCAATATCCACAGGACGTTCCACAGGTTCAATCAATTCAAAGATGACAGACTCAGTCAATAATCCATTGATAATTCCCATGCGCACTAAGCGGTCGAACGTAGAGTAAAACAGTCCAATAGAGAAACTTGTCTCAAGACGTATTTAGCATGTGGTTAATTCGAATATTAGGCTTAAATGAGTAGCAAAGAAAATAACAATTTCTCCTCAAAAACCCAACCACAGATGAATACCTTGAGCTACTGCTCACATCCATGTTTTTGCCACCCCTCTCTAACTTTACTTCTTGTCTGCTTATATCCGCATCGTCACCTTCAGAACTGAGGACATCGCCCCCTAGTGAAGCGGCAAAGCACTAGTAACTGTGAACTCACCCTAGAACTGTTACACTTTTGCATCTAAAAAAACAACGCTTGTTTATGGAGCCAATGGTGCACTACAACATTCTACTTTTAAATCATAAACATAGAGCCTTTTCTGTAACTTAGCAATATTTGTCTGAATTCTGTTCTAGAAACATTGGTAATGTGACTTTCAAATGCCAAATATTCCCAGTCCCATGTCCTTGCTGTTGTGCAAAGTTTGAAAGTAAAAACATTCAGATACGTACTGTATCCAATAAAGGTCAGTGTCTTAAGGATTACTAGAAAGTTATAGGCACGTCAAGACAAGTCACCTTTATTTATATAGTGCTTTTAATACAGATTGTTTCAAAGCAGCTTTACACCCAGAAAGCAACATAGTCCCAGCCCAGATCTGTTACACCGTGTCCTAACTACACACGACGAGATAAAATTCCAGCGACAGCAAGTGTGTCTGTCCATTCGCATTCCCGTAGGGTAAGGACATAATCAAATCAAGAAATAACATTATTAAAAATCGAAACATTAACAAAATATACTCATTGACTAATTTTGTGATGAAGTACAGTTGTATGTTTGCATAAAATTCATTTTGAATGCTATATTATATGCTTTCAAAATCTGAGGTAAATTATCCGTTATCTTGTGGCACAGTGACCTATTTTTAACTAAAAACAAATAATGTATATACTCATAACCAGTGTAATTTCTTCATTCTGTCAGCCGCGACGTCGCAGAAATAGGAACCGTTTCTAAATTAGAAACTTTGCGTGTCGCCGTCGCGTCTGGTTTGGACAAAAACTCTGATTAACATGGAAAAGATACCTTTTATCGCGCGTCGCGGCGTCGTGTCGCGTGTAGTTAGGACACGGTGTTATACATAGATTCCAGATGGTCCAAATGTTAGACCCACTCTAGCTAAGGTGGGATTGGACAGGATGGATTGAGGTGGAGAAAGGCTCGGGTCTTTTCTTAGGCCTTTAATTTCAGTGAGGCAGGAGTCCAGGGGGTTCCTTGGGTGGGAGGGCTTATAACTTATCAGTATAAAAGTAACAAAGAACTCCCTCTGGCTCCTCGCTCGACTCTATGAGTCGAGGTGGGGAGCGGGATGGGGGGACGAATACGGGCAGGCCGGCCCTTAGGGGGTTGTCAGTCCCAGACGGGTCGGACTTCTCCTGGTTCGTCTCTGAGTTACATCTTGGCTAAAATAAATAAGACGATGGGATGGTTGATGTTATATTGCTTATTTACAGGCAGATTGTAAAGAGAGTGGATTGTGGAATGGAGAAGGGAAGAAGGGGAAGAGAAGAAAGGAGAGGAGGAGGAAGAGAGGAAGGGAGAGGACGAAGAGAAGAAAAGAGAGGAGGGAGAGAAGAAAGAGGAGGAGGAGGAGGAGAAGGAACAGGAGGAAGAAGAGGAGCGGAAGGGGAAGGAAGAACAGGAGGAAGAGGAACCGAAGAAAGAAGGAGGGATGATGCGGCGGACAGGGAGTTTAGAGCCCTAGTAAAGGTGCTCCACAAGTTCCTGAAAGCTTTCCACCACGTGACGGAGCTAGAGGTGGACAGGACGGGGGGGGTCTTCTGCAGCTAGGCTGGAGGGGATGGCCCACCAAATGTCGTCGGGAATTCAGCCAGCATTTCCGAACATCAGGACCAAATACCTGTTGTTCGGGAATGCAAAACAATGGCTCGACAATGGGGTCGACATCCTGGTGGAGCATTATGATGAGGCCCTCCGAGAGACCAGCCGGGGGGTCGCCCATGCCTTCAGGGTACGGTGGAGGGAGGCATGGGAAATTGCGATTAAATGGACCCGCCGTGCGATCAGTAGTATTCGGGATGAAACGATCCTGCGGGCGGGGGAGATGGTGGCCCGAATGATGTCCCGAGAGGACCCTCAGCCAGAGGAGGTGGTGGGGGATAGACCCCGAAGGGCAATAATAGTCCACATTGATAAGGAAAAAGAGAGGGCCCAATCCTCGGCCCAGGGGGGAGGAAAGGTGAGGATCCTGGAAGGAGAAACGGCGAGGGGTGACAAACACCAGGAATCACCGGAAAGGGCTCAGGAGGAAGAGCCAGGGCGCTGTAAGACGCCGACACCGAGAAGGGAGGTGGTTCCGGAGGAAAGGGGTGTCCTGGGATCAAGCCCAGAATATTCCTTAGAAGAAATTGTTCAGTTGGAGCAGGCTGGTCAGTCGGCAGTCCCCTTAAGGAAGACAACGGCCAGGAAGGGGATTGGGCCAAGCAGGAGGGCAGTGTCAACTATTCCAGCAAAGGGTCCAACGCTGGTTCAAGAGCCAGTCTCAACTGGGTTGGATGAGAATATGGACTGGCTCCTGGAGGAGGAGGAGAACCAAGGAGAATCCGGGGCCCCAGTGACCCCAGCAGCACCAGCGGTCTCCAAGGTCCCGTGTCCGGTCTGGAGTCTGCATATTAGACATGACGGGACACGGGACAAGTTTGGGGTCTGGAATCTGGACCCTAGGAGGAAAATCCTAATTATAGGATCCTTGAATCTGGCAAGATTTCCAACTGTGAGACGGGGGGAGCTGGAAGTGCACAGCTATCCCGGGGCAAATATAGTCCATGGGGCCTACATACTGAAGAAGAAGACCCCGACCTTCCCGAAGGCCAGACAGGTCATACTCTCCTTTGGCCTGAATGATAGAGTGCAACCTGACAGAGGAGTGGCAGAGGAGAACGTTAAGGCACTAATAGAGGCCGCCAGCGGGACTTTTCCAGATGCTGTGGTTCACATCCCGCTGGTTAATTTCAACAAGACCCTGCCAAAAGAACAAGTCCAAAATTTGGACATGCTGAACGAAGAAATTTTCAAATCAGAGCACACCATCCCTTTACTGCCCGAGGGGAAATTTGCGACGGGACCAGACAAAATTCATTGGTCCCCAGAGGCGGCCGGGGCGATGTTACATCATGGGCTTCACCATTTAAATGTTTAAGGGGGTACCTTCCACCAGGGCCCCGACAAGGGCGGGGGAGAAAGAGTCAACAATACTGAGAAAAATAAAAACAAAGGTTCTGTGATTAACTTGTCTGAGCGTTTTTTACTCACACCGGCACAGATTAGATTGTTGGACAAGGGGTTATCATTTATTCCGTCTCATTTAGTTAAAAGAATGGGTAGGGAGCCTTTGTTGGCAGATTGAGCACGGTATGTGCAGGAAGGGCTAAGACGGTTGACAGACGAGTCCTTTTATTCAAAATTAACAGCTCCTATTTTTATGGAATCAATACCTCGCATTGAAAAGGTGGTGAACACCTTGTTAAGGTCGGGATTTATTTGTAAACGGCAAGCAGATTATTTACTAGGGGAGAGTAGGCCTAGACCCAGGAGATTTTATTTGCTTCCCAAGGTTCATAAGCCCCAGGAGAAGTGGATTAACCCTTTTATGCCTCCGGGGCGCCCGATAGTATCGGACAGTGGGAGTGAGAGTTATAGGGTGGCGGAGTTTATTGATTTTTACCTTAATCCCTTATCTACTAAGCATTTTAGTTATATTAGGGATACCTATGACTTCCTAGAAAAGGTAAAAAGATCCGAAACATCCGGTGAATCTGAGGTACACTACTGATGAGAGTGTCTTGAATATTTCCTTCATGCATCATCTGGGGGAGTAGGAAATGTACCTCAACGTAGATTAGTTTTCCTTGTACGCCGGGTAGTGTTTAGGATTGTGCCTCTTTCTGTACCAAAACAGTTTTTTTCTAAAAACCTACCTATGAAAGAAAAAAAGGGGGGGGGGGTGACTGATACACCGAGTAGTGTGCGATTAGGTGTTTTCTAAAAAACATCAAGAGGAGAGAGACGATTGCTTTTTCCTGAGGGGTTTTGTTTTAAATCACGAGGAATTTAAACCTATGCTCGTCCTAGTTTCGGGGTAGATACACAGTGGAGGATAGTTTAATCTTCTGTTTGTTTTTGGCTCCAGGTTCTAAGTTAGAACATTCTCCGAGAACGGAGAACTGGTATAGTTTGACATGCGTCGGTCAGTGCTATCCTCAGTCTCCTCACTTTTCTGGACTAGTGCCAGGGAGGGGGGGGGGCTGTTGTAATATCCTCAAAACCTAACCTCACCAGTGCCATCGGACTATGACATACCAGCGTGATCCAAGTAAGGATTCTGGGGGCCTTGTTTTCTCTTAAACCAGTTTTTTTTGGATGGATAAGTAGGGGCTCATTTCTGCACAGAAATGTTGAATTCAAATCCGCTCCAGCCACACAGGGGTTGTGTGGAAATGCGATGCCGGGCCAGGATTATCTGACCGGAGTCTTTGGATTTGGGTTGGGTTCGCTGGTCTGGACTGGCTAGGTAAAAGCCTCGTATTTTGGGGTTTGGTTGACCCCACTGGAGATTGGATTAGGGAGATTTTTTTTTTACAAATAAATAAATAATAAATAAAAAAATGTGTTGAACTTGTTGATTCTTGTTCAAAAAGACGCTGTATGAAGCAGTATATAAAGTATTGAACGAAAATGTCTCTGAAACATCTGTGTATTTGGCAAATATTGCATTTATTCACTTCAGCTGTGGTAAAATATGCAAACACAGTGCGAGCGTCACTACGGGAACCAGAAAGTGTCCGACTTCACGTCTCCGTTTTCAGCTCTGTTTACCTGCCACTGATCGTTTACATTCAGGAAAGCTGATGTCCAACACCCCTATGTTGCTGTTTGGGCAGTGATAACAGGAAAATAATGCAACAAAGTTTGTTTCGGCTGTACAGCAAATCTAGAAGAAAATAGTGTCATAGGCCAGCCAGTGATGGTTCATTTCTGTTTAAAAAGTTATTCATTTTAGTTAATTTGTCTATACAGAATCTCTGGAGAAAACAGTGATGTCATCGTCCAGCTCAGTTCAGTTCTCATACAATGATGTTAATTAGGGCTGGGTATTGACACAAATTTCGCAATTTGATTCGATTTCGATTCACAAGCTTGCAATTCGATTCGATTTCGATTGGATTCGATTCAATATTGATTATTTTGGATATCAGTTCCAAAAAATGGCCATTTTTCTCAAGGGAATCAAATCTCTGAACTAATGCTGTAAACTATGAGAGTCTAGTTGTAGTGTAATAGGCTTCATTAGCCTAATATGAAGGTAATAATGAACTGTTTTGTAGCTATACAAACACTTAAATTACACTTTTATTTATTTTTATAATAAGAAGATTATATGAAATATAAACATTTACATGGTGGCTGTCATAAAAACTTACCAGATTTATTCAAATATGCATTAAATATTGCAGAACATTAAGATTATAATGCATATGTAATATGGTGTATATATTTAGCAAAATGCTCCTCTCTAGAGTTATTTTTTCTAGCTGATTAACGAGTTCATGTGGGTTTTCTGAGGTAAATATGACGATACATGACATTGATTACAAGCTGTTTAACTAATGTCTTTCCACGGTTGAAACGCTGATTGAGTGAATCAATGTGACATGATACGGATTTCGATAAGTTGTACTCTATCTTTAACACACTTTCAGATGCTCATTCATGTTTATTTGGCGCTGTAACTGGTATTATTAAGCCGGAAGAGAGATCAGCGCTGCTGCTTCTCCAGAGCGATCTCACGCCACAGCGCCAAAACATTATTTTATGTTTTTGAATTTCTAAAGAAAATGGACGTAATTTGAAAATTGAGACTTTGTTTCATATCAATAGTAACAAAGGACTAAGACTATTGCAATGTTTTGGATGCGCGCAGCCGCGATACAATGATCCATTCATTCAAATGAAACAGGATGACTAATCGATTCTTGAGATTTAAGAATCGATATCGGTTCATAAAAATGAGAATCGATTAATATCGAGAAATCGATATTTATTACCCAGCCTTAGTGTTAATGCAGGCGGATCAATCATATTGTTGAATATTAAGTGACCTTACTCTGCAGGAAAGTGGACTTCAAGGGCCAGAGTTGAGAACCCCTGCTCTATTGGGGACATTGGCCCAATCAGGAGCAGGATTGGACACCCCTGCTCAACAGTATCCAAATCAGTACTGGGGTCTATTAATGAAAGGGACAGACCTAAAATTAGGAGATAAAAGAAAAATGTTTAGCATTGCTTTTGCAAATTTCATGGGAAAATGTGCTGCACACTGAAAAAAAAAGATCCATATCAAGGATCTTGAATCTAGCCTGGAGGTCCACTGTCCTGCAGCTCCAACCCCAATCAAACACCTCAACCAGCTCAAGGTCTTCCGGATTACTTGAAACTCCCGGGTGTGTTGAAACAGGTTGAAGCTATACTCTGCATGACACTGGCCCTAAACTCTACTGCAGGGATTCTAAACTCTGGCCCTCAAGGTCCACTTCTCTGCAGAATTTGGCTCCAACCCTAATCAAACACGCCTGAACAAGCTAATCAAGGTCTGCAGGATCACTACAAACTTCCAGGCAAGTGTGTTGGAACAGGTTGGAGAAACAGTCTGCATGACAATGGCCCTCTATGATCAGGATTGGATACCACCATCAGTACTGAGGTCTAATCGTGAAATCGATGGTGCAAGAGTCAGGAGATAAAAGTCAAGAATGCATGCATGATAATATTGTAAGGAATCTTCATATCTAGCACTGGAGAATTTAGCCTCAACCCTGATCACAATAAACTGCCTTTTAAACTTGTCCTGGTGTTTGATCAAGGTTGGAGCAAAGCTCCATCTTCTTATAATGACATAAAGTTTGACAACTCTGCTTTTCTACAGGTGGAAGACTCTTTTCCAGACTTCACAGGGTCAGAAGTGAAGCAGTCAGGGAGTATCCAGAATGCCTCAGCCCCAACCAGCACAAGATCTACCTGAAGAACAGCTACACCCTCCCTGCTATCCACCAAGATATTTACCTCAATGAGAATTGTGAGAGAACTAAACGTCTTGAGAGGCCAGGAAGCCCAGCTGGTCTTTGTCTTGAGAACTGTAGAACCCGTTCCTACTGTGAAGATACGGGGCGCCAACAGGGGGGTTCTCCAGGTTTGTATGCAATGAGGACAGATAATGCGCTTCCTTCTGTCTGTCCACACAATGTTAATTCTTTACCTCAGGATAATGTTCCTCTTCCCGTTCATCCCTGTGTGATTGTGGACACTCGGGATCCTCTTGATGTCACCTCCGACCTTCTTGGAAATGATGTCCGCATTGAGCGGATTGACTCTTGCATGGATCTGAACAAAGCTTGGATTGCTTCAGAACCTGCTCAGGGTTGTAAAAGTTTCACTGTTCCAGGATCAAACTCGGATATACTAGGATTCAGCTGTGCAGCTCAGATCACTCCAGCCTCTTTATTTGGCGAAAACGCACAACCAACCCTTTGCAACACAGTTGACGTACTTCCACAGAGAGTTCGGATAGTTTCCAACTCAGCGCATGTACCTCCACGAAACCAAGCGCATGATGGATTTTCTCTTGAACAGAGTCTTACTAACTGCAAAGCCTGTGGAAATGGACAGCGTGGACAGTTTGTGGCTGAGTTGAGCAAAGTCAGTTCTCATCGATATCCATATGAATGTGCAACTCAAAAGCAAGAAGGTATCTCTTTAGACTTCACAAAGATGACTTCCCGGGTGAACTCTGTTGATATGGTGAGGGAGGTTGGGACTGAGGACATGGAGACCTGTCATTTTTTCAGCCCTTCATATAAACAACCTCAAGTTGGCATGATCCCATCAGCGTCTACCACAAACAGCTCCTGTTGGAGTGAGACTAAACTAGAATACCCTTATATGGAACAGCTGATGAAGGTAAACGGCTTGGGCCATCACGCCCAAATTAAGGCCAAGAACTTCAGTGCCAAATGGAAGGGGGGTAGACAGGGACTCCCCGAGGACGAGGTGCGACTGTGGGGAGCTCAGATTCTGTTGGCATTGGAAAGTCTTCATGAGCAGGGCATCATGTGCCAGGACCTAAACCCAAGAAATGTTCTTCTTCGCAGCAGTGGTATGTCTTCTGTTACCAAGTCTCTGATCCTGCAGGGCCACTGTCCAGTAGTGATGTTCGATTCTTGAAAAAATCCTTGTTGTAAGCCAGTAACTGGTCAAGTCGGTTCACAGAATGAAATTTTATTTCCAGGTTGATGACGCAAGATGCACATTCGAAGTAGGATATACTTTCACAGTACAGAACAAACCAATAAGCATGTCCAGAAATGAAGAATAAAAACTACAGGCAGAGTTGAAAGGTCATGTCTGACTGGAACAAGAACCAAATGAGCTGTCAAAGTTCAGTGGGTAGAGTCAGTACTTTTTGATTAATTTATTTTTAATTGGGTTTTTTTGATTCAGTAACCCATCTGGACATGGTCACTGGCTCATTCGGTTCTGCAAATGAGCGTTTGGAAGCTACTTTGGAAGTGTGCCTTGCATCCTAAGCATGATTCCCCCATGCCTCCTTCCCCCTCCCCCCACCGCCATGGTCATGTCAATCACTATACTGATTGACTACAACAAACACTGATTCCTAAACCTACCTGTCACTGTAACCTAAACCAATGAAAACGTTTGCATGGTTGGATTTCCGCTGAACTGGTTTGGAAAAAAAAATCACAGGTATCTTCAACCTGGAAATAAAGTTAGATTCAGTTCGATTATGTGAACTGGCTCGACTGGTTACCGGCTTAAAAGAACATCACTGCTATCCAGCAGAGTTTAGCTCTAACCCTAATCAAACACACTCAAACAAGGTAATTAAGGTCTTCAGGAATACAAGAAAGTTACAGTCAGGTGAGTCTGATTGGGTTTGGAGCAAAATTCTGCATGACGGTTTCCTTCCAGAACTGTCGAAGAGCCCTGTCCTATGCATCTTAACATTAAAACTATACATATATAATCCTGCTCCTGGATGGCTACCATCCTGCAGAGTTAAACTCAAACCTGCTCCTTACATGGACCAGGTTGAAACTGAAATCTGCATGAAGGTAAAACTCCAAGAGCAGGATTGGCTAAACTTGAACTACACATTGACAGTATGTTTAATCTTTTTCAGTTATCTGATATAATAAAGGAAAGGTTCACAGAAAAATAAATGTATCCATCATTAATTCACCCACAGGAGACAAGAAGTCTTGTCCATATATAGAAATGAATAGGGATTTTTACTGTCAAAATCTGAAGGAAAAATGCGTCTCACTAGGTTAGACACCATTGTTACCAAACATCATTGGTTCATCATCATTGGATTATGATGACTTTGTATCATATAACTTCAGAAGATTTGGAATACATGGCTTATTGTTGTTTATGGAACTATATTGTCATTTCATTGTCAATTTCATTAGATTGAAAAGAGCTGCTCGGACATTATGTCTAGCATCTCTTTTTGTGTTTCACGGAGGAAAGACAACAGGTTTGGAACGTCAATCTAGTATTTTAAAACAGTGGTTCAAATGTATTGTACACAGGTGAGGCGTGTCTTACATACTTTGGACTATGGACGGAAGTTCAGCCTGAAATTAACCCAAAAGCAATGGAAGAGATGTACTGTGCACCAGGTAAGAAAACAATTACATTTTTTTTTCATAATCACATCAAACTGCAACATTTCTAAGACACATTATGTTGTCTGGAAATGTAATAACTAGTTTTTTTTTTAACCAATTTGGTGCAGAAATTGGAGGTGTATCGAAAATCACTGAGGCATGTGATTGGTGGAGTCTTGGAGCTTTATTATATGAGCTTCTTACTGGCATGGTAAGCATTTTTTATTTATTTTTTTTGCTTTGAAAGTAAAGAATTAAAACTAACCCAAGAATGACTACAAACGGCTCAGATTGTTAAATGAGATACCTTTACTATGTATTTGTTAGTGAAAGTCAAATTTGTCTGTTTTGTCATGTATAGGCATTTGAGGTATTTTTGCAGTCACCTCTGAACAAAATCTACTACAATTATATAGCGTATCAAAATGTAACCTTACTTACTCGTATAACTCTGGTTTCCTGAGAGGAAGGAACGAGAAATTGTTTCTTTAGTTAAGATAGGGGGAAATAATTTGTTACTTTTATATAGTACTTTTCTCTGCACGCAAAGCATTTGGCACATGGAAGGTGAAATCACCTCAACTACCACCAATGAGCAGCATCCATCTGGATGAAGCGACGGCAGCCATATTGCCCCAGAACGGCCAGCACACATCAGCTTATTGGTGGAGAGGAGACAAAGTGATGAAGCCAATTAGTATTTGGGGATGATCAGGGATTATTGATGTCACCTTTCTTCGAAAATACTGAAGCCTCATTAAATCTCGACAGTGTAAAGCACTGGGCATTTGCGTTCGAGCTCGCTGGGAGACTGTGCCTCCCCCACCTGAAGTACATAATGTGTCCTGAACGCGATTTCCTCAGAATCGCAACAGGCAGGGTGTCACTACACATAGTGTGAAGGTGACAAATGGACTCATCCAATCCAGATGACTCATCAACTGTGTGTGTGTGTTGGGGCATGAAGTGCCTGTCTCTGCGCCTTGGTGAAACACCCAGTGAATGCTTCAAATGTGGCGTTAAACAGACCCGTTGGACTCACCAGTGCAACCAGGATCTCCTCCTTGTCTAAAGTCCTTTGAGCTGTAAGTGTTAGCCATAGATGGCAATCCAACTCCACTAAGCTCCCCATTGTGCAGCCAATAGACTGGGCCGTCGTTTTTGTTGCTTTCAGCTCTAAGCCAGTAGCGCTATGAACCTCCTTGAGCAAGTCCAGGTCTGGGTCGGTCTCGTCCATCTCTTTCAGCCTCTTTGCTTGATATACTCGCAGGACAGCTATCATATGGAGGGCTGAAGCTGAAGTCTGTGAAGTGCTTGGCCAGCTTCAGTCAATGTCTTCTCTGTTATGCTGCAGTTTGTACTGTAGGGCTTGGAAGGATGAACTCCCGTGGATTTGTCGTCCACGGCTTCCTTGACCAGAGGGAAGCATGAGGCACGCCAGAAGGTGAGGCATGCCGTAAGGTGAGAGGCATGCCAGGTCTTAGAGATCTCCTCATGAACCTCAGGGAAGATCATATTGGCTTTTGGGGACTGGTCTTCTGGCAGAAGCTCGACTGAAGGTACCACTTGTCTAGCCGCCTTGTTACAGGGTCAGCAGGGGAAGACCACTCCAACCCCAGCTCATCCACAGTCTTTGTAAGGATCCTCAGCAGCTCCTCATCCATGTTGTGTGAAACTCACCCGACAGCAACATAAGCCGCTTTTCCACCAATGGCCCTCATTGCGTAACCATTCCATTCCGTACCGATCCGGGCCAGCTTGTACTGTTTCAGTTTCCACTGTGGGTCTCGGCCTGGTTTATTGAGGTATTAAAAAGACGCTGACAGTTGTCCAAAGCCTCACAAGGCTGCCCGTCATGATTGCAGTGGGCAGAGTGAACCAGAATATGGATAACTTCATGGAGAATCTCACAGCTTAGCAAAGGCAAATGGATAGTTTCGGAGACCAAAATATACCCAATCGGATCTGTTTTCGGTCACCCTCAACCAGCACTGGCCTTGGCCAAGGCCGCTGTTGGAAGAACAACTCCCCCGGTAGAGAACTGCAGTGAGCCGCTTTTGCGTTCCTTCTCTGACTCCCCAGACACCTGGTGATTGTTGACTCTGTCTGGGACCTGATCAAGGTTGTCTCCATGGCAACTTGCTGTGTATCGCTATGACAATCCTGCGGACTGAGGCACCTAGATTATAATGCCAGGCATAGCGAGTCTATACAGAGAATGCGGAGAACACAGGTGAACTGAATGCCCCTGAATGTTGGGGGTGCCAGGCGAACTGAATCGCATAGCTGAGTCTGATAGTACGGTTGAGCCAGCAAAACGGGGTGGGAAGCGCTAGCTAGGATCCCTGACACCGTGCAAGCAGGACCAACGGCACCACAGATGTACCTGCGGTAGGGCAGCGAGGTGGAATGTAGGGAACTGACTCTGACGGCATATCATCCCGAAGTGGGGACTTGAGTGTCTTGGGACACAGAGGTCTCAGAAATTGCTCTTTTATTGATATTGTGGGTACCTGTCTGGGTTGACTCTGTCTGGGACCTGATCAAGGTTGTCTCCATGGCAACTTGCTGTGTATCGCTATGACAATCCTGCGGACTGAGGCACCTAGATTATGATGCCAGGCATAGCTTGTCTCCAGGCCTACACATTAGGGGTGGCACGGTTCACAAAACCCACGGTTCGGTTTGTATCACGGTTTTAGGGTCACGGTTTTCGGTTCTGTACGGTTCTTGTTATTTTTTCTTTTAATCTTTAACACTCCAGAAATGTACTTCAGCATGTGATATATAGCTTAATTATCCACACTTTAGGATACAGTATTAAAAATATATATATTATATTCATGCAATCATGCACAAACTGAATTTGACTCTTTGACTTTAAGCACATTTTGGGACTATCTCAGAGGAAAGCTAGGTGAGATTTAGATACAGCAAGAGAGAAGAAATTGACATGCTTTTTGTTTATTTGGCAAAAAAAAGGAGAATGTGTATCACTATCATACAAGAACTTGTGCATTTTTATCACATAAATCTTATTTACACAAAGAAATTAACTTTCATGTATCAACTGCTAACTTTTGTAGCTCTTACCAAAATTCTATCTTTTAAAAGCAAAGAGAGCAACTCTTAAAACACTGTCTTTTAAATGTCAATATACATGAAACCTTACTGCCTATAGATAATTAAGCTATAGCAATAGCAAAGGCCATAAACATAAAGTTAAATTTAAGTTCAACCTCAACACAAAAACAGTATCAACAATGCTTCTATTCCCAAAATGTGAGGGTACTTTTTTCCACTTAAAATTAAAGTGCAGGGTTTGGAAACGTATGACTGAAGCTCTTATCTATACATAAACTGCCACTGTAGTTGCGCGTCCTCCAACTCCCTCATCTCTCCCACTTGCCATTTCTCCACGTGCCGTGACCTGCAGCGCTCCATACTCCACTTTTACTGGCTTGTTTATTAACTTGAACCGGCGCTGCACAGAGCGATCGGTAATGACATCAAATACCGCGAAAGTGATGAATGCATACGGAGCCGACTCGCGCTAGATTGATGTTATTCACCGATCGCTCTGTGCAGCGCCGGTCCAAGTCGAACAAGTTTATGTCGCGCGAAAAGAAAACACACGTCACATACGGGCACGAGGTTACATTGCGCATGCGTCGAACCGTGAGGCGCATGCGTCGAACCGTGAGACGCACACGCGCTCCGAACCGAGACAAGCGAACCGAACGGTTCGGGTGTTTTTTCATGTACCGTGCCACCCCTACTACACATATATATACAGATATGCATTCATCCACCCCACACCCCATCCCTCGCCTTCGCTGCTTTGTACCCCCCAGTTTGTACCCCCGGGTCTGTGACCAGTGCCGAGAATGGCTGCAGGACCGGATGGCTGCTTGCCTGTGCTGGGCTACCTCCATACCCCACTCCCCACCCCTGTTGCAAGTTTTTGTTGATGTTGTAGAGTATACCGATTGTGTGCTAATGTTGTTGAGGTGTTTCTTTCCTGTTCCCACACTGCACTCCTTACAGGAGATTAGTCTGGGGTTTTTTTCTCCTCACCTCTCCTCATGTCATGCTGTATTTTTTTCCTCAATTCCCTGTCTTCCTGTCCCCTTGTCATATTGTATATATGTTTGCATGGACAGGTTGATGGCTAATTTCACTGGTACTTGTGACTAAGTGACAATAAAAGGGATTACTTACTTAACTAAAGTTAGAAAAGTGAAATCATTATCAACCACCCCTTTAAGAGGTTTCTCACAGGAAGAACAGGTCTCACAAAGCTTCGTTGTCAGCTACTGATGAAATGCTGGGTGAACCAAACTCAAAAAGGAACAACAAATTTCCTTGGTTTTGAAAGTGTTGAGACTGTTGTTTTCATCTGTTCAACTTTGTTTCTCTCTAGCCACTGTGGCAGTGCCACCCTTCAGGCATTCACCCTCACACTCCTCTCCACATCCCAGAGTTCCTCAGTTCTGCAGCCGCCTCGCTTCTCACTGAGGTAACTGCTCTCTCAGTACAAACTGACATGACAGTGTATGCAGTGCTTGAATCTGGTGACAACCACCTATTTAGGTAATGTAGAATAGTCACAATAGAGAAGATATTCTTAGATAAATAGGGAGGACATCTCACCAAAACATAATTAGAGCTATAATTTTGAACCATAATATGAAATAAATAAATAAATAAATAAAAAAAACAACATATAATATAACAATGTAATATAACAATGCACTAAAGTGTAACAAATCAAAGTTACACTTGGATAGTACAAAAATAAATCAATTAAAAAAAAAATAAAAATGTAACGTATGACAAATCTGGTAAGGTTTTTTGATCTTGTAAATGTCATTCTTTTTAGGAGACTTAATCAAATTAGCTATGTTTTCATACAAAACATGTGCACAAAATTAGATCATTGCATAAATAATTTGCGAGAGAACAAAAAGATGTTTCAATTTTGTTTCAAGAGAACAAAATTGTCACTTCCTGGAAAATTTGCGCAAAAAATCAGTAATTACTGTAAAATGAAAGTTGCTACAGTACAATCGGGTAAAACCCACTTTGGCTTTCTTCCTGCATCATAAATTACTTGCAAAAAAAACAGCATTTGAGATGCTTTGCAACGCGATAGGTCCGCTGGTTTTTCCAGTTGTCCAATCACATCCTCTGCAAAATTAGTTTCGAGGGATTTATTCGTTAAATGTTTTCCCATCGTAGTGTCTTCTTATTGGATAAAAAATTGCAATACCACCTGGGGATGGTGTCGCCATTTTCCCAGTCGCACTCGCTGCCGTGAGAGCTCGTCGGCTGCACGGTTGAGCAGGCTTGGAATATAAACGGCATGAAGCGACCTCAGATGCTCTTCCGAAGGAGGAGACGGCGGGCGAGTTGTGACATGCGACGTGAGCGTAGACCACCCTGACGGTCGATGTACGCAATGGTCGCAGTGCTGTCCGAACGGACCGGTCCATGCTTGCTTATTAGTGGCGTTTTGAAGCGGCCCAGCGCAAGATGTACTGTTAACAACTTGAGGCAGTTGTTGTGGCAACACAATTGAGGCCCTGCCCACAAACCTGAAGCTGCATGCCCGTTGTACATGGCCCCCCAGCCGGTGGCAGAGGCGTCCGTGGAGAACACAGAATGCCTGGACACTTGTTCTAGGTGAATACCAGCCTGCAGGAATGAAGGGTCTGACCACAAGCTGAGTGTTTGGCGACAATGTGGAGAACACAGGTGAACTGAATGCCCCTGAATGCTGGGGGATGCCGGGGGAGTCTGATAGTACGGATGAGCCAGTGAGACTGGCGGGGTAGCGCTAGCCAGGAAAACCCCTTTAAGAGGTTTCTCACAGGAAGAACAGGTCTCACAAAGCTTCGTTGTCAGCTACTGATGAAATGCTGGATGAACCAAACTCAAAAAGGAACAACAAATTTCCTTGGTTTTGAAAGTGTTGAGACTGTTGTTTTCATCTGTTCAACTTTGTTTCTCTCTAGCCACTGTGGCAGTGCCACCCTTCAGGCATTCACCCTCACACTCCTCTCCACATCCCTGAGTTCCTCAGTTCTGCAGCCGCCTCGCTTCTCACTGAGTGAGACTGGCGGGGTAGCGCTAGCCAGGATCCCAGACGGGACCAACGGCACCACAGACGTACCCGGGGTTGGGCAGGGAGGCAGAATGTAGGGACCTGACTCTGACGGCATAGCATCCCGAAGTGGGGTCTGAGTGTCTTGGGACCCAGAGGTCTCAGAAATTGCTCTTTTATTGATATTGTGGGTACCCGGGGGGCAGTGGCGAAACAAAAAGAAAAAGAAACAAAAGTTTCTCCGCCTGGCCCTCACTGGGGGAAGGAGCGGAACGTCGTTTACCATCTCCTGAAGAGTGTCTATTTGATCCACCTCTAGGTTGCCTGTCTCAGGGTCGTTTGCACCTCCGCTTGCCTCCTGGTCTGGCAGCAGCCTGGATGGACGTGGTCAACATCCTGCGGCTTGCTCCATGCTGAGGCCTGGTTGGTGGCTGCTGCTGAGGCGGATGGGTGGGAGCAGCAGTGTCGAATCGCCGCCGTCTGCTTCTGGGCAGCTGAGAACTGCTGGGCAAAACTTTCGACCATGTCGCGAACAACTAAACCTAGGACAGAGGGGCATCCAGGGACCAATAGTTATTGGCGTCCCTCATATCAGCCAGGTTGAGCCAAAGGTGGCGCTCCTGGACCACCAAGGTGCACATCGCCTGACCAACGGAACGTGTGGTTTCTTTCGATGCTCGGAGAGCAAGGTCAGTTGCCACACATCTGGGCAAATGTCCTGGGGGCCCATGTGTGAGGACATGACACATGTCCATTAGCACCTGGGCCTGGTGTACCTGGTGTACCCACAGGCCATGAAAGTCCGGACAAAAACTTACAAGCCTTGGACGGGAGGCGTTGATTTACCCCGCCAAAAGTAAGTGGATGCTGGACACAGCTCCATCGCAATGGCACGCTCCACTGGCGGGACCGCCAAAGCCCCAAAGGAGACGGCTGGTCGTCCATGAGAATGACCAGCACGCTCCTTTGTGGGCTCCACGGGGAGGGACCCACGGGGATTGTCTCGGCGGGGAAGCCCTCACGGTGATCATTAGATCACCCTGGAAATGCACAGAAGTAGGTCTATTCTGAGTTTCAGGATAGATGCTAGATCGGGGCATAGGAGAGGACGACTGCTGAGGTAAGCAAGTCTCGATCTTAACACTGCCATAGTCATATTCCTGCAATGGGAACATGAACTATTCATAAAGGCTGCCTCAGCGTGCTGAATGCCCAAACACAAAAGGCAACTATTGTGGCCGTCAAACGTGAGCGACTGAAAGGGAAATATACATTTGCAATATTTCGTTAATTTCTATATATTTTATAGTTCACGCTGTATCTTTGTGTACATTTGTGAACACTTCCCAACCAGTTTAAATGAAGTTATTTAAACTAGTGGTTTCTGAGTAGTCTGAATCTAGACTTCCTTCGAACAACTTAAAATCATCATAAACATATGTACATAAATATACCTTAAAACAGGGGTGCCCAACCCTGCTCCTGCCGATCGACTGTCCTGCACACCCTAATTAAAAACACCTGCCTTTAATTTCCAAGTGACCCCGAAGACCTTAATTGGTTGCTTCAGGTGTGTTTGATTAGGTTTGGAGATAAACTGTGTAGGACAGTTGATCGACAGGAGCAGGGTTGGGCACACCTGCCTTAAAACATACATGGATATTGCATGGAATATGATGAATGCAGTGTGTAAACTGTACTTATCAATGATCCGCATGTACGGATGTACCATATGTGGTGTATCACCCTCTTTTTCTAATGCTTTTCATATTAGTATATAAAATCTTTTACCTTCTGTCTTTGTATTTTCTGCATAACTGTGAGCCACGGCTGACGATTCCCTGAATGCAAGCGTTTCTCCTCGTTTCCCACAGTTGCTCCAGTGTGACGCGTGTTATCGTCTGGGATCAGGAGGCGGTGGCGTGAGCGACATCAAGTGCCATCCGTTCTTCACCTCCGTCCCGTGGCTCACACTCACGCCGTAGTGCCGTGTGAAAGTATTCACCCCCTACATCTGTTTCTGCTGACATTAAAGATGCGTGTTGAGTACAGTATTCAGCACACTGAGGCTGAGTTTCTTCTCTATATACAGTCTAACCAAAAATTATTCAGACTCCAGATATCATTTATTTATATTTTTTTTACTAGTGTGTGCAGGACACTATAGTTCATTTATGTAAGTGAGGAGAGCAAAATAAAGTAAACTGTGACATATTACACCCAATAATTCTTCATACATCACACACAGGGAAGCCCTTCTCTGCCATATAAGAGAAAAAAAAATATTATTTTGTAAATTAAAATAAAATAAAAAATAAAAATTGACACTATGACTTAAAAGTAGAAAATCTGACAAAAAACATAACAAAATGATGACATATTTAATACATGAAAAGTCGAAATTATGACGAAAAAAAAGTAGATAATTTAAAAAGTTATAATTATGACGAAAGTTTTTAACAACAACTACACAATGTTACCAAGCTAACAAAAATACATTGTAAGAATGTTTTATTCATGTTCCCATTAAGTAATGAAAATGTTATTTATGAATGTTCTAAGAACTTTTTTTTTTTATGTGATCGTTAAGGAAACATTCCATTTCATCATCCTTCAAACGTAAGAACGTTACTTTTAAATGTTCTGAACGTTCTGAAACTTCTTTTTATTTTTATTAGTAAAATTATTTCACTTTTGGCAGGTCAAGAAAATAGCGCATCTAAATGAGAAATGATAAAAGCTGACATGTGTTAGTGCTATACTGCACTTTTTCACAGATAGACAGTCTGTATTTTTAATAAATTACCATACTTTATGGACATTATATAAAACTACACACTAATGAAATGGCAAGGGTAGTGAGCTAGTATGCTATTCCAAACATGAGCTAAACGTGTCAGGTTATCAATACGTCAGTTTCCCTGGTATTTGTGAGAGTGGAAATACCTCGGCAAGCTTTTATTAGACCAGACGGCAGAAACAATGAATGTGGGTGAATCTTTCCTGAAGCCCTGAAGTGGATCACAGCCTTTATTCCTGGAGGATTTATGGATTTATCGTGTACTTTTACCACCATCTGGTGGAGCCAGGAGATATTTCTCCACATCAGCAGTTTTCTACATCACACACACACCTGCAGCGAACAGCTGGATCGGAAGATGGAAGAACAGAAGAAAAAAATCATGCTTTTGTAAATCATAATTAAAAAAAAGTTGAAAATCTGACATAAAAAGACAAAATTATGACATACTGTCATATTTAATATAGACGAAAAATAAAAAGAAAGATAAAATGTAGATATATGATTTAAAAAGTTATAATTATGACAAAAATCATACTATGTCAACATTGTGACTTAAAGTAGAAATTTGGACGTAAAAAAATCTCTTCCATAATTATGATGATAAAGAATTATATTAATTACAACAAATTCATAATTTCGATTATTTCATAATTTTGTAACTTTCACAACTATGGCATTTTTGACTTATGTCATTATGACTTTTTGTATCATAATTATCTCAAAAAGACCAAATGATGACCCTCTTATTTAAGAGATGAGAAGTCAAAATGATGAAATATTAAGTCATATTTACAGTAGGAGATGAAAAGTCAAAATAATGTCTGTCATGAGATGAAAATTTGAAATATGACTTAATTAGGACAAAAACAATCTAAATTGACACCGTCGACATAATGACAGTAGAAAATCTGACATTAAAAGTCAAAATTATGTCATTTAATATAGATGGAAAAAAATCGAAATTATTAGTCATAATTATGAGATAAAAAGTACATATGATTTGTCATAATAATGACTAACAATATAAGTTATAATTTTTTAACTTTCATAATTATGGCTTAGCATGTCAATTTTGACTTATGTCATTATGACCTTTTTATATCATAATTATGACAAAAAGTCAAAATGATGACATTTCAGAGATTAAAAAAGTAAAATGATGACAAGTTGACACTTAAAAAGTTAAAATTATGACAAAAATCAATAACAACTTAAAAATGTGAAATTATGGGCTGGTATGTCATAATTTAGATGATCAATTTTGACATTTTAATCTCATAATTATTATTTTCTCCCCCGGTTTCACAGACCAGGCTTAATCGAGTCTCAGACTATAATGCATGTTTGATCTGAAAATATGTCGGTGCCATTAATTCATCTCTAGATTCACATGTTTTTAAGGGACATTTATAAATGTAAGCTTAATCTAAACCCTGTCTGTGGAACCAGGCCTGTACGTTATAATTATGACTTAATTAGATTTGCCACGGCATGACTTTTTCCTTTATGTGACATAAGTGGTCTGAAGGTCGATTCGGGGCATTCAAACTTTGCACTTGCTGTTCTGCATATAAAATGCAATATTACCCAAAACCAAACGTGTGTTTAATCCTCTCCATTTTCAAATGAATGTCGTTTCTTGATCTTACGTGATTGCATTCAATAAAGCCACTCATTTCTTACTAGTTGTTGTGAATTATCCTGAAAGACAAACACAGATGCACATATGAGCAGGTAATGAAGCATAATGTGATGTTTGAGATTCTTTTTAAAAAAAAAGCCCCGCTGATCTCATGTTTGTGGAAGTGTAAAGCAGGTGTGTGTGTGTGTGTGTGCTTTGTAATCTTTCCAGGCGTGAGAATTAAAAACCAAGTGACCTCAAAGCATCTTCAGCATGTGAGCCTGTCACCGCACACCAGACCTGCACTGTACCTTACTTTCATTTTCTCCAGAAGCCTTGAGCGCGTGCTGAACACAACCACACACACACTCTGAGGGAAACCTCATCTCATGCTGCATTAGTGATGTGTGTGTCCGTCTGGAGTCCCAGTGCAGCAGCATCTCCAGCTCCTTAATATACATGTGCAAAAAACAATTCACAAAAACGTGAGCACGTTACTACGCTCGTTTCCGCCACAGAACAAAACATTTTATAACACAATTGCGACTTTACACTCACCTAAAGGATTATTAGGGACACACACTAATACTGTGTTTGACCCCCTTTCGCCTGAATTCTCCGTGGCGTTGATTCAACAAGGTGCTGAAAGCATTGTTTAGAAATGTCGGCCCATATTGATAGGATCGCATCTTGCAGTTGTTGGAGATTTGTGGGATGAAGCTCCCGTTCCACCACATCCCAAAGATGCTCTATTGGGTTGAGATCTGGAGACTGTGGCGGCCATTTTAGTACAGTCAACTCATTGACATGTTCAAGAAACCAGTTTGAGATGATTCCAGCTTTGTGACATGGTGCATTATCCTGCTGGAAGTAGCCATCAGAGGATGGGGACATGGTGGCCATAAAGGGATGGACATGGTCAGAAACAATGCTCAGGTAGGCTGTGGCATTTAAACGATGCCCAATTGGCACTAAGGGGCCTAAAGTGTGCCAAGAAAACCATTACACCACCACCACCAGCCTGCACAGTGGGAACAAGGCATGATGATCCATGTTCTCATTCTGTTTACACCAAATTCTGACTCGACCATCTGAAATCGAGACTCATCAGACCAGGCAACATTTCTCCAGTCTTCAACCGTCCAGTTTTGGTGAGTTCTTGCAAATTGTGGCCTCTTTTTCCTATTTGTAGTGGAGATGAGTGGTACCCGATGGGGTCTTCTGCTGTTGTAGCCCATCCGCCTCAAGGTTGTGTGTTGTCTGCATACCTCGGTTGTAACGAGTGGTTATTTCAGTCAAAGTTGCTCTTCTATCAGCTTGAATCAGTCGGCCCATTCTCCTCTGACCTCTCGCATCAACAAGGCATTTTGGCCCACAGGACTGCCATCGCATACTGGATGTTTTTCCCTTTTCACACTATTCATTGTAAACCCTAGAAATGGTTGTGTGTGAAAATCCCAGTAACTGAGCAGATTGTGAAATACTCAGACACCAACAACCATGCCACGATCAAAATCGCTTAAATCAAGCTTCCATATAGGTTTTTTTTTCCTGTTAAGATGTTTTTCTTTCGTCCGCTATTAGCAAAAGTTCCTTATTTTAATAATATAAAAAAAAAAAAAATGGCAATAAATATCATGTCCTAAAATTTTAAATATGCATCGCAATTTATGACTTTAGGAGGTTCTGGGCTCATCAAAATCCTCCTCCTAAATCTAAAAATTAATAATAATAAAAAAAGAATAAAATGACAAACACAAAAAACAAGTAAAACTACACAATTAAAATGAAATCAGAAAATATAAAAGTTAAAATCCAATACAAAATATTAACAAAAACTATATAACAGGATATCAATGATCCCAAAATTCATGCATCAAACCTGATAAGCTCATATTTCCCAGCATCAGTTCATAAGTTGCCAGCCACCGCCAGCATTATTGATCATTTTCACAAAAGTTTCATGGCCCCCAGAATATGTTTTCTGTATCTGAACATGCAATATATCATAAGAAAGAACAGATCCTGTCCTCTTAAACAAACAAGCCTGTCTGATTCTGGCTTCACAACATTATTTTTATATCAACACTTGAATATGGGCAAGTTCCATAAAAATGCAAAAATATTCCAATAATAATGATATTATATATATATATATATATCGTTATATAGCCTATATGTAAATAACATTTGGGAATATTAATAATAAACCCGTTCTTTTCAGGAAGTAAAGCCTTCCAAGGTCTCTTTATTCTCTGTCTGCCCTATTATACCATAATTATGGAAGTATTGAAAGTGGGTTTTTGCAGAAATATCTGCATAATTCAAATGATCAAATTACACTGTAAATCTGACAACTGTTAGCTTGATGAAGGAATGGGTTTAGTCCAAACTATCTATAATGTATTTATGTGAAGTTGGAGCCATGAACACGTGCTGTGGCTGTCAGTGAAGGTTGGAGAACTACAACTATATTAGCATCCACAGTATCGCTCAGTTTCGTCGCCTGTCACTTTAAATACTCAAGCTCTGAAAGCGTAGTGGATTCTGATTGGCTGTCAACATTTTTATCGTTCATCAGCTGGAAAAAAATCTTTCTGAAAGTGATTCCAACGACATCGTTCCTGTGTTGGTATCGCCGTTATAGTTCTGTTGCGGCTCTGCTATTCTATTACACTTAAAGCAAATTCTAGAACCATATCTTTATTGATATTATCGTTCTTGGTGCGAACAATCTTACAATCCTGCTTTAATCAATCATTTTATCACTTTAAACTCACCTTTGATCAGCAAAATGATACATTAAAATTTTTTTTATGCCTTCAAATATCTTAAATGTAACTCGACACCCTTGCCTTATTTAGTATGTGCGGTTCTATGAATATGCAAATGAGCCCCGCCTCCACTCACTCCCTCACTCAGAGATCCACTGATTGACGATCACACGTTGATCTGATTGGTTACAAGGTGGTTTGTGACGTCAGAAACACCAGCGATTTCAAAGCGTGTTTTTGAGACTGTCTTTGGTTCACTGCAGTTTTAATACTCAGCAATGCTGTCCACTTATCAACTTACACACGATGTGTGTTAAAGGGGACATATCATGCAAAATCCACCTTTTTAGCCCTTAAATGCATTTTGTTGTATATTTGAAGTGTTTATAAGTACAGAAAAGATGAAATTATTCTCTTCAGGTGCTTCGTTTATATCTTCATATTTTTCAACCTGTTCAGATTTTTCTGTTTTCTATGATGTTTTTTGAATTATCACGTCACCGTATTTGCAGCGGAACTGACGAATAAGGACATCGACTACCGGTCCAACACTTCGAGCAATCCGCCATTATTATTTCTCGCTCCGATTTTGTAGTCCGAGCTCAATGATGCAGAAGTTACGAGAGGGCAAGTCAAAACGTTAGTGACCTTCAACAACCTCCGCCAGTATAAAGAAGGGTTTGCCGATCGACTTCGTCTGAATAAGAGGTAAATTCCTTCCATCTTTGGAGACGACGAACAGAGCGTTTCGATAAGCTGTAAATATCGTTAATAAAAATAAAGTACTTTACTTTCTTAAAACACATGGTGGTCATGGTTTAGCAGTACCTTTGTCTTTCTTTGTTTTTGTTTTGAAGTAACGTTACACGTCTGCAGTATTATTGTTCTTGAGTTTCATCAATGGTCATTTAGCTGCTTTTCTAAACGTATCATATTATCAATACAGATTGTTTGTGGTAAGATTAGACCGTAGTCATTTATCTTGTCAGTGTGCTTGTTTTAACAAGAGAAATAGTCGACGTTCACTAATAACACAAAACAGTTAACTCACATACCAATATATCCATATGAAGAGGTTGTTCTGCAGGTTCGTCATCGTCTTTATCGACTCGCTCGCTCTGGCTCGAATATGCAAGGCTTGATGGACAAGTCTTCTGTTAACGTGTGAATAAAAATGTTCTTTGAAGGTATCGTATATAATCGTATATCTCTAATTAAACTACAATAATGGCCGAACGTGGGGAGTTGAACTGACCGTGAACTCATGGACCTGGAGAGCGGGCGGGGTGTGACGCATCTCCTTTTTATTTAAAGGGGCCGCTTTGAAACGGGTCGCTCACAGACGCACATCAGAAAAGGGGCTTGTGGAGCTATAATAATGAGGAATTCAGACCCGAGCATTGCAGTTATGCTTTATATAGACCACAACGGTATGATTTATATGTAAAAATGAATGATTTAAAAGCATGATATGTACCCTTTAAAGCGGATTAAACACACCACATACACAACATAAAAGCTGGACTCCGTCAGACGCTGGAGTGGAAGGGTCAGAGTTGGCTTGTGTTCGCTGTAGAGAAGAGCCAGAGACTCGCCGCTGGAGCGTTTCGTTCCGTTTATTGTTTAAAAGCTCAGATTTGGTTCTTTACAGGGCAGAATCTGAAGAGCTGGAGTTGTGCGGGACACGTCGCGGTGTGAAAGACAAAACACCCGCGACACACTTCTGGAACATAGTGTTCATTACACAGAAGAGATTAAATATAACATATGTATATTACTATCGTTTAGAAACATAATTACACAGGTCATGTGTGTGTGCTGAGCTGTACACAGAACAAGCGGTTCTGCGAGATTACAAACTCCGTCATATTCTGAAACACATTTACATGTAGAACACGTCGAGATGAAGATGATCACTGCGGATCCCACTCCAGTCCCCTCGTCTGCGTGGCCTATCAGAGTGTGTGTGTGTGGGGCGTATCAGTGTGTGTGGCGTATCGTGTGTGTGTGTGGTGTATCGGTGTGTGTGTGCGTGTGCGGTCACATGTCCAGCAGCAGCACCCGAGGGTCCTCCACCACAGACTTGATCTTTCTGAGGAAGGTCACCGCCTCTCTGCCGTCAATCAAGCGGTGGTCGTACGTCAGAGCCACGTACATCATCGGCCTGATCTCCACCTGAACACACACACACACACACAGGTTATAACAGAGGCTGTAACGTTACCGAGGAGGGACAGCTGACAGGAGGCAGAGTTTAATACGAGTTGATTCTGTTTTTTCTTCCTGTTATAGAGAGCCTAAGTCCCGCCCCTCCGCTTCCGGCTCATGGGACCTTATTTCGGAAAAAATATGAATGGTAGTCAATGGCGAGAGACAACTTATCTTTTTATTCCGTCTGAACTGTGCCCTCAATTACACATATGATGTTTGTCAATTTAAAAGATAATTCTGAAAGTCGAAAACGTCGCAGTTTGTCATAAAACAGAAGAGCAACATTTAGTTTTACGTGAAAATCGCTCTGTGAACTACATCTCCCAGGAAGCGAAACGAGATCCGCTGCTCGTGTGTGTGCAGTCTGGTACAAAACACTCTGGTATGACGGCGTAACGTTACGATTATAACGTAAGACTGTAGAAACAATGACAGACGTTAGCCTCAGTAAAGTTAGCTTCATTCATTGAGAGAAAATGTGCACCTCTGGGGTTTGTAGTCTTTGCAATTCCGTATTTTCACAGTCTTATACCTCAACGGTTTCACATCAAACTGCGAATTTCTTTACTTTAAAATGCATCTATTAATTTTACGAACATCATATGTGTAATTCAGGGCACAATTCAAACGAGATCAAAATATTTTTAGTATAATATTTTTCCAAAATAAGGTCCCATGGTGGTCGACCGGAAGGGGCGGGACTTAGGCTCTCTATAATTTATTCTAGATGGTAAAATAAAATTGTATTTATCAAAGAGCATTCTGAAGTAATCCAAATCAGGAAACTTGTTAAATTTATTAACATTTTGACAGAAATTACATTGTTAAACTTTTTCATATCCAAAAACATATCCAATATTTAATTCATAAAACAACTTAATTTATTAATTTGTATACAATAATAGGGCCCTATGAATGGGTAATGAAATGAAGGCATGAAACATTAATCTGATCTTTTATTTAAATGAACATTATACGAGTCCTTTCATTAGTTTGCAAACTGTGTAGTAACAGGTTTACTGTTGAAAATCTAGAGCATTCTCTGATTGGTGGAATTTCCCGTACAGCATCATGGGTAATGTAGTTTTCAGCCCAAAGTCCACTGTTAAACATGGTTATTTAAAGAATACTGTGAATGTGAATGGGTGGCTTCAACATTCGGTGAACAACCTCTGACCTAGAAGTTATGTTAATAATGATGAATAATAAATGCAGTTTTAGGAGCTCTGACCTTCCCAGCGATGGCCACGGGCCGGTCGAAGATGCCATGCATGCCCAGGATGGCCGACTGCGGCGGGTTGATGATGGGCGTCCCGAACATGGAGCCGAACACTCCTCCGTTGCTGATGGTGAACGTCCCGCCGTCCATGTCCTCCACAGCCAGCTCATTCTTACGAGCCTGCGGGAGCCGAGAGCACAGCATTACACAACACACCAAAGCTGACCCGCTTCCTTCTCCCTAATCTACTGGGCTATTAAACCTGCCACTGCATATTCCTAATATTGTTGATAATTATTGGATAAATCAGGGGTTTTAAAGAGGGGTTTTGGAGGCAGGAGCATTTATAGTGGAGGAAAAAAACAGAGAGAAAAACACAGATACGTGTTTTTTTTATTAGATTCAGAAATAATGTAAACTACTGGTAAATAAAACAAAACATTGACAAACTCTAGGGCTGCTCAATTCATCTAATTTCTAATCGCCATTACGATTACGTAATCGTTCAAAGCCGCGATTACAAAAAAAAAGTCCACTTACACGATACTTTTTTCTTAGATATCCACTACACACACACAGTTATTTTTAGAGGACATGTTTTTTTTTGTCCTTGTTGCTTTTTGGAGCAATTTGCTAATTTAATATTAAGTTTTAGTTCACTTAACTAAATAAAGTCACACTTTGTCCTGCAAATGTGCCCAAGAGCAAACTCATATACACACACACACACACACACACACACACACACACACACTGACACCTGGTTTAGTGTTTGTTTTTGTAGGAACAGTAGTTGAATAATCGATTGAACTGAACCATTAGGTCTGTCTGTTTGACTGACAGCTTTATTGATTACTGACAGAGAATTGATTTAGAAAGAAGTTGGTTCAATATAAAAAAGAAATTAAAAAGTATCTAAAAAAAACAAGTATATAAAAAGTTTCCCGGAGATTAACAGGAGACTATAGGAGCTAGCGGAGACGCAAGTGTGAGTAAGTCTACATACAGTCAAACCAACAATCACTCACACACCAGATATTATTTTTGATATTTGTCTACTAGTGTGATCAGGACACTATAGTTCATTTCTATAAGTGAGGAGAGCAAAATAAAGTAAACGGTGACATATTACACCCAAATATTCTTCATTTGGGAGCAAAACTGACTCCTCCACTTTGAGCTGATGATGTTTTCTGCAACTGCTAATGCTCTTTTTACACACACACTGAACACCATGAAGCATTGCTTGCTCACTGGTTGAGCTAAACTGGTGTTATCTAATAGTGTAGTTCAATTGAACAGATATTCAACATAATTCATGTGTGAGAGTCCAAAACCAGTCCAATATCCACTGATCTGAGAACTGAGTTCTGCTCCATTATAGCCAATAAACTGAGATAATGCGAGAAAGGTGTCTGAACACATTTAGTTTTGACTGTATATCTTAGCACATTTCAGATGATGAAAAAACACGACGTGAAGTTGGTAAATACGGTGTAGCGAGTTATTTGGCCGAGCCCGCTTTGAAAGCCCTGTGCTAAAAACACACATGTGAAAGGTGCTCTGATACCGGCCCGAGTCATTAGAGGAATAAACCGCAGCGTTTTTCAGAAATTACATGGTTTGATTTTTCCCTCCACTTGACATCAGCTCCACCGCCGCTGTTTATTTAGGTCATGTAACATTTGCCTAAATAAAGGTTTCTGGTCAGATGCTCCAGTTGCAGATAAACGAGCCTGTCTTCAGATCAAGCGCTCGCTCCCAGCGGCCTCACCTTCTCTCCCAGCTCGTTGATGGTTTTCTCAATGTCTGCGAAGTTCATTCCCTCCGCTCCTCTGATCACTGGGACCACCAGACCCTGAGAGACCAGGAACAGACGGTCATGAGATGCACTGGGACAGTAATACAGTAATACAACACTAAACACAGAGAAGAAGCAGAATTATGTCACATTTGGGGCTCTTTAATGTTACGATTTCTCACCAAAGCTTCATTTATTTGATTATAAACACAGAGAAATATTATTCCAGTGTAATCATCTGTTTTCTATGTGAATATATAGTAAAGTGTAATTTATTCCTGTGATCAAAGCTGAATTTATCATCATTACTCCAGTCTTCAGTGTCACATGATCCTAATATGAGGATTTGCTGCTCAAGAAACATTTATGATTGTTATCAATGTGGAAAAAAGTTCATATTTTGAGGAAACCGTCATACATTTTATTTTTCAGGATTCTTAGATGAATGCAAACTTCAAAAGAACAGCATTTATTAGTATTATCATTACTATAAATTACACATTATTGTAAGGTGTCATTGGTACAGTGTAATAATTATATATTTAAGTACTGAGTAATATTAATTAACTACATGTGCTGACTATAGGGTTAGGGTTAGGTTAAGGGTTTTTTGCATGTAATTATGCATAATTTACTGTTATTACTACGGTAAGTACATCTAACATATGTAACAAGGACACTGTAAAATAAAGTGTTACCAATTTTCTTTTAATCTTGCTGATCTTAAACCTTTGTCCGCTAGTGAACCGTCACTGAATTATTTTCCTGTTATCTCTGTAAAGCGCATTTGAAAGCTTTACTGTATTGTAAAAAGTGCAACAAAAGCACGTTCTCATGAGATTCAGCGTTTCAGATTTTTTCTAAGAGGAATGAATCTGTAGGAATTACCTTTGGTGTCGCGACGGCCACACTGATGTCCACGTAATCCCGATACACAATCTCTTTGGTTGTGTCATCAATGACTGCACAGATAAAGATAAACGTTATATATATATATATATATTTATACTTGAAAAACACTGTGGACTTCCTTTGAAGAAATGTCACTAGTTTGATATTTCTAACATTTCAAACATGAAATGTGAAAATATTTTTTTTTTCACTGGTCAATTTTGAGATTTTGGGATATTTATCTTCAATAACATGTCTTCTTTCAGACTTGTGGTGAAAAAAAAAGTCAGAAATACACATTTAGGTCTTTATTTTACGACACTGTGTCTGTAGATTTCTCATAAATTCTTCAAAAGTTGTCGTTATAAATCATTCTGCTGCTCAGCGATCGCGATCTGCACCCCGTCATCACACACACCATTAGAAAGGGTCCAAATATGGTCATTTCCTTTTTATCAGCAACCAATCGTGAAAGTAAAAGGGGGGATTTAACTCTAAATGCGCGATCTCATTGGCTGATACTAAATCTTTAAAGCCAGTTCTCAAAATGACTTTCTCATACTCCAAGTCCGAAATCTCCACTTCAGTAGCAACTATATACACCAAACTCTCCAGTCTTGTACCTAGTTATATTATGAAGACATTTACAGAGGGATTTGTAAATATATTATTCCTAGCCTGATTTATATAACATTTTATTCCAAAAAACATAATTTTTAAGGCAATTGGCAGTATATTCTGATTTATAGGATAACAAAAGTAGATATCCATAAATCCCTCTGTAATTTTCTCATCTAATATGTGAACACAGTGAAAAAAGAATTTTGAACCTGGCTTTATCCAACATTCAGATTTCATTTTTTTTATTTCGTTTTAAATATATGCAAATTAGTGCATATTTAATTAGATAATGCCTCATTTGCATATTTAAACATTAAATTACAGAAAACTTGTAATATATTTTTTTCTCATCTCAATGTAGTTAATCAACTGGGAAAGATTCACAGTGATATCCTCTAGTTAAAAAAATTACCCTATTCACCTGTAGTGTCTCGTACATTAGTGTATTGTGTGTTAATGAGTGGAAATGTTTCACTGGACTGCTGAAGTGATGGTGTCATTATACCATCCACTACAGCTTTTATTAGCATTTTTAATTAGTTTTTATTTTTATGTTTTGGTAATTTTGCTGAGGGTTTTTATAATTTTTAAATGTTTTTATTTCAGTTTTATTAAAAAAATGTTAGTAAAGCAAGTTATTAATTATTGCCGATAACCGATTAGCAAATTATTAATATTTTGACAATTTTATTTGTATATTTTCTGATTTTATTGTAATTGTTAGTAATTTTGTTGTTAATTTGTCCTTTTTATTAGATTTTCTGAAGCATTTTTAGTTATACAAGTACTCCAAGTTAAACTGTTTTCTTATATTTTATTTGAATTTTGAATTACTATTTTGAATTATTACAATTTTTATATTTTCTGTTGGTAATTGTCTAACTAGTTTTTATAAATTTGTATTTTTGTTTTGGTTACTTTAGTACATCAAGTTAAACTAAATGCTAGATTTTTACATATTTTATTTCAGTTAAAGCTTGCTTGGTTTCAGCGGACGGTGATAACCCGGATCGTGATCGGTTTCAGTCAAACACCGGCAGGAACATGCAAGTACATGACGAAGGACATGTAATGGTGTGTCTCTGGGCAAATATAGACGCACACTGGCCTGATGAAACCGTGTTAAACGTGGATGTCTATGTAGGCCAAGCCAATGAGGTTTAGAAGGAAAGAGAGGAGGGGGCGACTGAAAGGTAATCTGTAAAACATGTTCTTTAGACGCGAACAGACAACCACATAACCACACCGTGGCTTAATCTGAAGTGTGTGTGTGTGGAGACACTTACCAGCATTAACAGCAGGCTGGTCTGTCAAAGCGTAAGCAGCAGCTTTCACAAACGCAGACATGAAGCCCAGTTTGATGTTGTGTTTCTTCAGGAAAGCATCTTTATATAGTTTCCTCATCTCTGTAATGTTGCTGTCATGGAGGAATAAACAAACATGTAAGACACTTAACAAGAACAGTCACTAAACCGCCATGACTTTCAGCCATGACATCCTGAAGCAGATGTTCTTTACCATCCAATTAAATATTTTTATTTGCTTTTCTGGTTATGGCGGCATTTTGAGAGTGGTACCTTGAGGTCTGATTGGTTAGTGTTAAGATTAGCACTTTGATAAGAGAAAATAAGAGCACATGCTAATTAGTGTAATTTTGTGTAGTTGGATACAAGTTGTGATATTAAACCGTATTTTAACTAAACGCGACACGTGATCAAAAGCATCTTTTCCATGTTAATGAGAGTTTTTGTACTAAGCAGATACACAACGGTTTTATTTAGAAATGGTTTTGATTTCAGTTCATCGCAGCCACTGATTATGTGCTTTATTTAATGTTTTAATAATTTAATACGAGTTTGAATAGTAATTTTCTGTGTGAGCTTTATAGCCGTACTGGACGATACAATGATCAAATTTCAAGCGCATTCCATCACAAATTGGCTCTTCTGATTGGCTGCGATTTTTTATTGATTTATCTGCAAATGCAGTGTGCTTAGAGACTCCGCCCACACTGTCTTCTAATTGGCTGTGATCTTTGATTGATTTATTTGCAAATGCAGTGAGCTTGAAGAGAGACTCCGCCCACACAATCTTCTGATTGGCTGTGATCTTTGATTTATTTGCAAAAGCAAGGAGCTTGTAGAGACTCCGCCCACGTTCTCTTCTGATTGGCTATAATCGGATTGATTTACTTGCAAATGCAGTGCGCTTACAGAGACTCCGCCCACACTGTCTCCTGATTGGCTGTGATTTTTGATTTTCGTATTCCCTTCAGTGTACCCGTGTTCATTCAGCTTCAGTTCATGCATACCAAACAGCAATAATGTATTAAAATCTGGAATATTTACATTTACAAAAACACTAATTATATATTTTAATAATCTAATCCATGTGATATTTTCCTCATCATTTTCATCAGCAGCTAAAAAGGCAATGCCGCCATTACTGAACATGATTGGAATGTCTAAAAAAACGAAACACGATGCTATTTTTAATAATGTAATTTAAGTACATTTTGATTATCGTTAAACCGTTACCACGACGACACTCACACACCACAGAAACGAGCATCCCAAATTTTGATTTAAAATTCCTTGAAACATAAAAGCCCAATCCAATCGGACACAGATAACCCCACTAATAACTCTTCAGCAATGATCCGAAACCTCTGTTTGCTTCACTTTCCTTCCTAAAACCCCAATCAAGGATGTTGTGGACGACAGTCTGCCCAGGTTTTAAGTGAAAAGCGCCGAGACGGTAATTCTCCATTTTCCTGTCTCTAACGCCGTTTAGCCTCTCCGGTTTCTCCGCTAACGGGATTAGGACCGTCCCAAGACACGCGCTCTCAGAGAAAGGAGAGAAGACGCGATAAAAATCTTCACTTTCCAAAGCCTTCAAATCTTATTGGCTCGTCATAATAGCCCATAACGGTCCGGGTTGCCTCGCACGCTCCCTCCGAAGGCCCGTCTCAGGGGACGTCCCGCGCAGATGCTAGCAGGCCGCAGACTAGCGCGCTCCTTCGACTCCAGACCGGCACAGTCTTCCTCCATCCCATCAATGCCAACGAGATTAGCGCACGAACACGAACCCCGAGCAGCTGAAAGGCAATACGGCCATTTGCGCTGGGGAGAAATCCTCAAAGTGTCATCTTCAGGGGCGAGCGAGGGAGACTGTGGACATTAACGTTTCCTTGTAAATTAATAAAGCCCATTTTACCCTTCTTATCTTTGTTTTGACCAACATTAGGACCAAATATTTACATTCCGCGCTTTAAGTGGCGATTGGGTTTCAGAAATCTCTTCCTGTACGCCAGATTCCAATCTATAACCATTTGGACGGGCATTGCGGAGCTTCTAATCAGGTTTGGGCAATAAGCAACATTTTCACAGGCCATCGACAGATTTCCTATGTGTCAGTGTCTGGACACACTTGCCTGAACGCTTCAAATCAGTTCTGTGCACAAATATTAAATTATAATGCTAGTGACATATTTCGGTACAATAAACATCCAGATTATAGTTTTTTTTCTAAGAAAGCGTATGAAAGTCTTTAGTACAAGTGGGGATCTAACAACTTACAAGCATAAAGAACAAATATAGTCAGAGAGATCAACTTAACACTCTCTTCGATACAAAAACATTAGGGATGCTCTGAAATTAACATTTTGGACGATACCGATAATTCGTTATATTTGAACATATATTATATTTGATATAGCCGATAACCGATATATCGGCGATTAATCTAAATACAATTTTTTTTCTATAATTTTTGAGAGCCTGATTACAAAATCAAAAGTCTCACTATTTAAATCCATGTCCCAAACACACAATTAGAGCCAGACCGATACATCGGCAGGCAGATATTATCGGCCGATATTAATCGTTTTCTAAAATATCGGTATCGGCAGTTATAATGGCCGATAAATTAATATTTAAAAAATAAAATAAAAACGGACGAATCACGCTTCAACCATGTCATGACTGTTGTCAAAAAGTGCAGGTAAAGGGTTAAACAAGCTGACATTGTAATTATAAGGTAGCTTATAACTATTTATTTATTTATCAAAACAAGTTTCTTTTTGAAATGCATTATCATATTATTTTAATTAAAACTCATAAATAAATAACTAATGTTAGGGAAATTCGTTAATATTTTGTTGCACGTTTCTGAAATAAAAACAATAATATCGGTTGATATATCGGAATATCGGATTTTACAAACAAATATTTGTATCGGTATCGGCCTTCAAAATCCTTTATCGGTCTGGCTCTACACACAATTATAATGATGTTGTCATAATGTTATGTAGCCGATATGACAGACTTGTGCTGTACATGTTGCACTTTATTATATATATATATATATATATATATATTTTTTTTTAAAGTGATTCCGATCAAATTTCAAGCAATTCAAAAGCATCATTGAGCAGTGCGCATCTGAATCGTTTCAGCTGAAGGAAATAATACATTATTTATCGGCTTTAATGCATCAGAAAAATTGTCTGATCGGGCCGATAATGATAACGATAAAAATTATCATATATCGCGTGACATATATCGTGCCTCCCTAAAAACACACCTGTACATGCTTTTGTTTGTTTAAATGCTTTGAGCTGGAGCAGACATCTAGTCAAAGAAGCAGCTCAAATATAAGTGCTTTCATCACTACGTTATCTCCTGACGTTAATCACTTTTTTCTGAAATTCTATTAGCAAAAACGAGTAGGTGTGCACAATCTTTTGACTGGCAGGGCATTAAAAACACATTTAAAAGAACCAATGAGCCTTTCGTCTCGAGTCGTACTCTGATGTTACAGGAACCAACCTCATATCCACTTCATTGAAGGTTGTCAACATTGCACAGGTGTTCTGCGCTTCCTTCAGCCGCTGAGCGATTCGCAGTCGCATGCGGTTCATCTTCACCTGCAACAAAACCACAGCACAGCCAAGCATTTACACACACAATTTATGCTACTTTCAGTCGATTCATCTGTGATATAACATTCATAGGTAAACATAACAATCATTTTAATTTGGCTATAGGACTTTTTAAGAGCAAAGACAGCGTTATTATAACAGAAACTGATTAAAACCACAGTGAAAAAAGGATGATCGAGTTGAATTGGGAATTATTTCTTATAAACGGTCTGTTTCAATTAATTGAAAACAATTGACTCAGAATGTTAACGGAAATCTCCAAATGGTATTTAACATGTTGCACATGTAATCAGTGCATTTTATTTGGTGAAAAAGACGCATTGATTTTACTGATTGATTTTACGCAGTTAGATATTTCATTATCTTGCATTAAACATTATCAATCAAATGGCAACAGCTCAACATGATCTACTGATTTGAGAGATGATTTATAAAAAAATAAAAACCTTTTAAGTAGGGATGCACGGTATATCGCCCACCATATCGGTATCGGCCGATATACGTTCATTTTTAATTTTATTGTAATCTGCCCTATGAGAATTTGACCGATAAATTAAAGCTGATAAATAATGGATTATATTTCTTCAGCTGAGACGCTTCAGATGCACACTGCTCAAGATGACTCTTTTGAATTGCTTGAAATATGATTGGAATCACTTCAAAAAAAAATATATATATAGTAAAGTGCAACAGATGCAGAGCAAATCTGTCAAACATTATATTGAGAACATCATAATTGTGTGTGTGTTTTTTTAATCATTTTTGAGAGCCTGATGACAAAAAAAAAGTCTCACCATTAAAAGCCACGTCCCAAACTATAAATTATAATGCTCTTAATATAATTGTATGTTGCTGATATTTTTAAGTGATTTCAATCATATTTCAAGCAATTCAAAAGCATCATGTTGAGCAGTGCGCATCTGAAGCGTCTCAGCTGAAGGAAATAATACATTATTTATCGGCTTTAATATATCAGACAAATTGTCTCATGGGGAAGATAACGCATCCCTAAATATCACCCAATAAAGATCCTAACAGAATGAGCACTTTAGGTTCACACGCAGCAAACGGGGCTATTAAAACACAGTCTATAGCAGTATGCAAAACTGGAGGTGTGTATGAGCTGTGTTCCTGCGGACAGCAGGTTATGGGTGCTAACGGGTGTCTTACCCTGTGCTCTGATCGCGTGGCTTTGACCCCAGTATCAGCAGGAGGAGCAGCAGCAGCAGTGGGTTTAATGGCTGAAACTGTGACAGACACAACAGAAGAGAGATTTAGGACCGCTCAGTCCTGCAATGTTCAGTATCAAAAGTTAGATTTCAAATTTAAGGCTTTTTAAGAACTGCAGAATAAAAAACGAATACAATATGGATGGGTGAGGGTAGAACAATGTCTAATGCAACTTGATCCATAAAACGACTGTACAACAACCCTGTGTGTTAAGTATCTGTGACGAGTTTGCATCTAGGATATAAACACTATAAGGTAAACAAAGTCATAATTCATCAACAGAAGCTCAATAAACGATCGTTTGGCATAAATGTGCAGATTTATTCTGCTCTGAAACCTCGAGTACCAGGGCCGTGTTTTTACTCTCAAACATGCAGCGCTTGTAAGACCTCTTGAAATGAAGACTTTTTAAGGACCCACAGGGTATCAGTGCTAGATTTAGTTAGATTTAGTGCGGAATCCAGTCAAAACAAATAAATACGAATAATGCTTAATTTCACGAAATGTATCAAATTTTTGATGAATAAATAAAAAGCAGGTCGGTACACTTAAATCAAATAGCTTTGTAGACTAGTGTCTGTTTTTATGATTGATCTATTTCAAAATGAATCCTGCATGTTCTGCGTGTCACACACACACACACACACTGAAGCACATGTGACGCTCGCCGTGTTTTCAGCCTCTACATGAACTTCAGCTCCAGAGCCACTCTGAGAGAACTTAATCAGCATTTTACTGCTTCATTTGAGAAAAACTATCATTACCTTATACACACAAAAAAATTAATACAAAAAATGTATTATTACTGTTGTACAGTAGCATTTAGCTATGTCTCAAAGTAATAATAACACTAACATTAATAATAATAAATTTAAACTATTTTTTTTAAGAATAATCAAATTTTTCCTCCATGTTTTAATTTGAACAGTAAAGCTCTGTTGTGCAGGACTTTGTGTGAAAATAAATAAATAAATAAATAAAAGTTTCACATGAAGATAACAAAAAATAAATTAAACTGTTTCATTCCTTCATTTGATCATTTGATAAAATGAACAGATTAAATAAACTGTTTATATGAATTTAATTAATTAGCAATCTTTTTGAATATTACAATTTAATTAAACCTTTGAAATTGAATCCAGAAAACCTAAAACAGAAAAAAAAAAAAAAAATCTGGTAAAAAATAAAATGGAATTTGGGAAAAAAATTAAATGGATTTTTGGGAAAACAGATTTCATTGGGCAATTTAATTAAACTATTAAGATTTAATCTGGATTAAATCTTAATTTCCATCTGAATTTTTTGTAAAAAAAAAAAAAAATACTATGAGATTTGGGGAAAAATAAAATAGAATTTGGGGGAAAAAAATAAAACAGATTTCATAGGGCTCTACAAGCACCATATAGCAAAAGAAACAAGGATTGAAATCACGGATGAGGTTTGATTATGTCAGCAGTGTAAAGCTAACCTGGCGTGGCCTGGATGGGCTGGGCCGGCACAGGGGGCACGGGGGGCATGCTGGAGGGGATGGGGCCCGCAGGACCCGGAGCCGGAGCAGGAGGAGGCGGAGCAGGAGTCTCTGCCGGAGGAGGAGGAGCCGCCGCCGCCGTCGTCTTAGCAGCTGCAGCTGAAACACACACACACACACACAGCTCACACCACTGACGCAGAACATCACTCTCTTACAATCATAACCACTTCCTAGGACAGAATGACCCGACACTTTATTTATGGCTGTGGTTAATGAAGATGGAAATTTTTAATGTGGGTCTACACATACATACTTTGCCCTAATAAAGATGTCAAAAGTTAGTTTACTTGTTTAGAAGTAAAGTTGTATTCAATATATTATCAAAACAGCATCACAGAAAATGCTTCAATGTTAAAATCAGAGACACAAGAGTCAAAGTAATGTCCATTTGGCAGTAATACAGTGGGGCCAAAATGTATTTAGTCAGCCACTGATTGTGCAAGTTCTCCTACTTAGAATAATGAGAGAGGTCTGTAATGTTCATCATAGCTCCACTTCAACTATGAGAGACAAAATGAGAAAGGAAATCACATTGTAGGATTTTTAAAGAATTTATTTGTAAATTATGATGGAAAATATGTCTTTCATTGTCATGCTAGAAGATCCAGCCATGTTTCATCATCTTCAAGGCTCTCACTGATGGAAGGAGGTTTTGGCTTAAAATCTCACGATACATGGCCCTGTTCATTCTTCCCTCAACACGGATCAGTTTTCATGTCCCCTTTGCAGAAAAACAGCCCCAAAGCATGCCTCACAGTAGGTATGGTGTTCTTGGGACGCAACTCTGCATTCTTCTTCCTCCAAACACGACGAGTTGAGTTTTTATCAAAAAGTTCTATTTTGACCTCATATTCTCTCAATCCTCTTCTGGATCATCCATATGCTCTCTGGCAAACTTCAGACGGGTCTGGACATGTACTGGCTTCAGCAGGGGGACACGCAGGATTCGAGTCCCTCTCGGTGTAGTGTGTTACTTATTTGGTCCCAGCTCTCTGCAGGTCATTCATCAGGTCCCTCCGTGTAGTTCTGGGATTTTTGGTCACCGTTCCCATGATCATTTTGACCCCACGGGATGAGATCTTGCGTGGAGCCCCAGATCGAGGGAGATTATCAGTGGTCTTGTATGTATTGCTCCCACAGTTGATATATTCACACCAAGCTGCTTGCCTATTGTAGATTGACTCTTCCCAGCCTGGTGCAGGTCTACAATTGTCTTCCTGGTGTCCTTCGACAGCTCTTTGGTCTTGGGCATGGTTGAGTTTGGAGTGTGCCTGTTTGAGGCTGTGGACAGGTGTCTTTTATACAGATAACGGGTGCCAATAATACAGGTAACGAGTGGAGGACAGACGAGCTTCGTAAAGAAGAAGTTACAGGTCTGTGAGACACAGAAATCTTGCTGGTTTGTGGGTGACCAAATACTTAATTTCCACCATCATTTACAAATAAATTCTTTAAAAATCCTACTGGATTTTTTTCCCTCATTTTGTCTCTCATAGTTGAAGTGTACCTATGATGACAATTACAGACCTCTCTCATCATTATAAGCAGGAGAACTTGCACAATCAGTGGCTGACTAAATACTTTTTGGCCCCACTGTATACAAAGTTATGTGGATCGTTAACATCATAACATGACGAACATGTCAGGCAACGATTATAGCCCATGACTTTACCGAGTATAATAAAAGGATAAAATATGAGATGTATTTAGTTCAGAACATTCCTTTAATATATGATTATTGTTATGTTAAGTGTCTGACCTCCTTTCTTGAGTCTGAAGAGAGGCGTTCCTCCTTCCACTTTCCCTCCGTCAGGAACCAGCAGCTCCTCGATGACTCCGGCAGCTGGAGAGGGAACCTGCACCGACGTCTGCAGCGGCACAATACACACTTTAGCCACACACACACACATAAGCGCTGTAGAAATTAAGCTGACTTGACACTTACAATGTACACTACATGTATAATAGGAACAAACGCAGAATATTTTGAACATGCTACATTATGCCGGTTAGGTTTGCACATAGGTTAAGTATTTAAAGTCCCTGTAAATTTTTTTTCCGGCAATTCTACAAAAAAATTTCTAAACACATTATAAATGTTACAAATGTATTGCTAAAACATATTACAAAGACTGTGAAGTTCTGAAATACGGAGAAATACAGTTTTTCACCATTGCTATTTTACGGATTTTTTGGGCGGGGCTAAAACAGGGCTCGATAACGCACTGGAGCCCCTGAGCTCGTGGACACGCCCCTATTTGATGACGCACTGAGAAGTGGGCGTGGTTTCAGCGCAGCCAGCGGACACGCCCCCAGCGTTTGAGAGCAGAGAATACTGCTAATTATTTCAAGATTTTGATAGCTTATTTTAAGTACTTGCCGGCTTTTGTTATCATTCAAATTTGGCTGGGTGGCTAATATCACATTTTTCTGTGGTGTGACAAACTCAGAACACATACTTAACTTTGACTTTACAGGGACTTTAAACGCTCGAAGTTCAAGAAATTGAAAAGAAATTGTTTTATAAGGACAACAACTAACGGCTGGTAGGAACTACACAAAGTTTTGTAATGTTCAGTGCATGTGTGTGAGGTAAAAGGACACCGACAGTTGTAGCTCCGCCCCCTGTGCCGGGAGCAGCAGCTAATTTGCATTTAAAGTGACAGACACAAAAACAGTGCGTTTTTGCTCACCCTCAATAAGTGACGATTTTAACATGAAATATGGAAATATACCAGACAGCAGAGACTTATTTTATATCTTGTGAAAAGGGCATTATACCACCACCCCTTTAAAAGTACTAATAAACAGAGAACGAGCGTAAACATTTTAATCAAAACATTTAATGTTTAACATCAAATTTAGATTAAAATCTGCCAATGATTGAAAATTAACATATATGCAAGTGATGATTGAATATGCACTATAACTGCAGGAGTACTGACACAGTTCACCGTGTTCACAGCAGTAAACGTGTTCCTGCAAAACCACTCCTTGGTCTGTGGTTTGCAACTCTTCTGCTGAACTCAGACTAATCAGTTTGTATTATTTTTGTTGTATAATGATTTTAATAATGTTGAACCATACAGACTTTCATAGTGCATTGGCGTGAAAAATAGGATATCAATTATTAGAACGGTTCTTAGTTGCAACTTGCAACCCATGAAGTTTCAAAATCACATCTAAACCTCCAGAAAGCGACAGTATTTACCGACCAATCACGAGCGAGAGCTCCTTACCTTATCAGTCTCGATCTCACAGACGACTTCATCCTCAGAGACCGAGTCTCCGACAGCTAAAGGAGACACACACAGGGTGAGCGAGGTCCAACCGTGTGTGACACACACCTGATCTTACACACATCTTACCTTTCTCCCACCTGACGTCTCCCTCTGTGACGGACTCCGCAAACGCTGGGGTTTTTACCGTGATAACTTCATTCCCTGCAATCACACGAGACATTTAATGTGGTGCGCAACCGTAGAAATGTGTTAACCAATAGAGATCTTTCCATTCGGTTCACTGATTGCACAGAATGAAAAGCTTGCCTAATATGGTTGTGCAATTTAAAACAAACAAACAAGATGAACTTGAGTTAATGGGATTACAGTGCAGTGGACACACACTTCAGCAACAGAGATAAGAGACTGTGATAAGTACGTCTGCATTAGCACTGAGCAGAGTTTATTACATGTAAGGTAAATAATTAATAGCGCTAATAACTCGGAGCATTTCAGGTCGTGATTTCTATTCTAGCATCATATAAGCAACATGATTCCTCACATTTGAAATATTTATCAGCATCCATGGCAACGCTGTGTCTGTATATTATCCCGCGTATTACTTTACTCAAAATATTGATTTAAAGCTAATTAACGTTAAATCTTTTATTAGCTCAAAGTTTTTGCGAGATAACAAGCAGCTTTCAGCCAAGACAAACGAGAAAATAATAAGTGTCCCTGAACGCTGAGATTATACGACTTAGAATCAAGCATTACGGAGATACTGAGAAATATCTAAAAATTGAAAGGCTGCATCCATTTGTACGCACTTCACCAGTGCGATATATTTAAAACAGCCCAGAAAATAGAGATGCTTGGCCTCTAAATCACTAAGAAACGCCACAATTCATCAAGACAAAAAAAAACCCGCTCACGAGCATTACGGCTCTTTCCTGGCCATTAATACTTGAATAACACGTCCCCGTCTCCTTCCATTAAACACGTCTAGAGTGGCGGCTGGGATATACACACACATACCTACATCTGTTGCCTCGATGACTGAAACGATTTAACGCGAGAGGGAAAATTACGTTTCTATTCGGGATGGGCATTCGATTAAATTTTCTTAGTCGATCGTCGGAAGAATTAACGATCGACTATCGATTAATCATGAATATTTTTATATTCAAATTTATTATATTTCACTTTTTATAAATGAAAAATGCAATGAAAATACAACAATAAAGCGTGTTTTTCCTCGATTAGGTCTTTATTACAAGATGATCAACTTGTGGCAGTTAAACCGGGCGTTCGGTTGGGCTACATTTGAAGATATGCGCGGCAGGTGCTCTAACGCAACTGAACCTGCAGCTGCGAGTTGGCCCTCGTGAGACCCTCGTTTGTTCCAAAATAATAAATAATAATAAAATAACTTAACCAAAAACATAATAACATTTAGATCTGACAGGTTTTGTCAACATGTAACTCAATCAATGCACGGAGTCGAGAAAGGGTGAGAGAGATTAGCCTACCTCACAATCAATTAGGCTAGGCTACTTTAAGCTTCATAAATAAATCTAAATAACGGCGACACGCCAGTAAGATGGTTGCACAAATATGTAAAATATATATTTTTCAATATACACAGATGACTGTTCGAAAACGTTTTGCATTTGGAGGGAATTAAACTGATGCTGCGACGCCATTGGTCCACTGGTTACTCCAGTTATCCAATCACAGCCTCAGGGCAAATTCACGTGACTTTTTTGTTGTGTATCGAGGGATTTGTGTTTCCATCATATGTCGTCTGATCCGCCTTGATTTGGTGCATTTGCTTTTTTTGTGCGTGTTTAAGCATATCTCGGTATAAAAATATGTGGTTGAAACATAGCTAACGATGCTATGCAACACCTCAGTTTCCAGACCCAGAGCACGAGCTGTTATACGTACTGTGAGCGGCTGTGGTGTTGAAGTATCTGATCTGATAGACGCTTGACCGGGTCTCACTCCTCCTAGAAATCAACAGCACAATCCAGTCAGATCTTTAATTTGGCATCTGTGTGTCACACCGTCACCGAGGATCTGCCATCAGCGACATGTCGGACTTCAGTGATACTTACGGGCTGTTCTTGAAGGAGACGCACTGACTAGCCGATGATATACCTGGAAGAAAAAGGAGACGCAGGAACATCTAATCTTGTTTGTTTGCAGAACAAGACTGTTAAAACCTTAAGGACACATCAGCAGGACTCACCTGAAGTAGCCCGCCTTGCAAGAACACCGTTTCCCTGGAAGAACAAAACGACAGCAGTCCGTCATCAGCGAGCGCTAACAGCACTGAAGCGAGTCAGTGTCCCGATCAAAGAGCAACGTTCAACAAACACAAGATTATCTACACTAGCCAGACTTTGACAAACAACTTAAAGTCCCCCGTAGTCAATAGTTTTATCTCGTCTTTCATCACCAAAGTGACAAATTTAAATGTCTTTTCCTTCATGCCTTAAAATATCTCGTATGTAACTCGACACCCTCGCCTCATTTAGCATTTGCGGTTCTATGAATATGCAAATGAGCCCCGCCTCCACTCACTCACTCTGGTTGTCAATCACACGTTGATCTGATTGGTTACGAGTAGGGTTGGGTATCGTTTGAATTTGAACGATTCCGATTCTTTGTTTCGATTCCGGTTCCTAGCGATTCTCGATTCCGATTCTTTTAAGAGGCAGGGTCAAAAAAGTTTAGCTAACCTTGCTAACCAACGGCCTTTCTGAAGGAAATACTCCTTTTGTCACAAATTTTGCCGAGATTTCGTTATTTTTAGAAAAGTGAAGCCACACTTTGGATCGCCGACGTAAGCTACTCATGTTCGACTCGCGCGGTTATGCCAACACTTCCGGTAGACGCTTCTTCGTTGGTGTTGTTCAGCGGTTTCTTCTTCCGCTCGGCGGACTGTGAATATCGAAACTAGGAATCGAAATTTTAACTTTTGAACGATTCCGGGAAAAACGAAAAGTTAGTCCCGGTTCCAATCGATACTCGATTCTCGATACCCAACCCTAGTTACGAGTAGTGTTGTCACGGTACCAAAATTTCAGTATTCGGTACCAATACCAGTAAAAATTCACAGTTCTCGGTACCAATTTCGGTACCAAAGCTTAGTTTAAATTTACATATATTTAAGTGTTTATCACAGTTACAAGTATGGAAACTGTACATTTGTATTATAAAAAAATTAGATAAAATGACCTAAAATAAACAATAGTATACACTAACACATTTTTAAAGTTGCTTGTAAAGTTCTAATCCGTTAACATTTATTTAATGCACAATGAATGAAGTGAACAAACATGAACAATCAAGTGTTTCTATTAAATAACATTTACAAACATTAATTAATGTTGTAAAAATATATTGTGTTGATGTGAAGTAGCTAATGTTGATAAATGGTATCTTATTGTAGCATTACCAAACTAAAGGCTACAGGAGAAAAAACATGTTTTATTTGATTTGACTGTACTTTTATTTAATCTAAAACTGCATTCATATTTAATTTTGAAAAGGCTTTTTAAAACTGCTGAGTTATAAAGGCAAGAATACGCCTAGAACTGGCACTGACATTAAATGACATAAATAGGGATGCATCGATACTAATACCAGTAGTACTCTGGTGTCGGGTGGACACTACTGTGCTCATGTCGTAAAACTACCCCGAAAGCACTTTAGAGGCCGTTCACATATCGCGCGCGTTTTTATTATATTTTTGCGAGAGCAAGAGAGAGAGAGCATATCAGCGTTATGAAGAGGACGCAACTGTGCACCTTTCAGACAGCGCGTCTAGAACTGGATTAACCTGGTATTCGGTACCTAGAAAAGCTGGTACCGTAACATTTTTTTTTTTTTAGTACCGACTTGGTACCAAAGTACCGAGTTTTTTGACAACATTAGTTACGAGGTCGTTTGTGACGTCAGAAACACCAGCGATTTCAAAGCGTGTTTTTATGAACACCTTAATATTTCCTATGGAGTAGGGAACTTATCAAATACACAGGGAAAACTAAAAAATAAAAAAACAGGACCTGTGAAGTTGCAAAAACTGCATCTGAAAAGTAATATTTTAATGTCATCTTGTTCTATAGTTAATCTTACATATCTAATAAATCAGTGGGACAACAGGGGCATCTGACAGGCCGTTAAACATCCATGTGTCGGCATGTGAAGAGTGACAGTCAGGCACACATGCGAGTCATGTGATCTGTGAATGTCACAGGGTCAAAGTGAAGGACTCTCTAAAGTAAATTACAGACTGATATTGGGGATTTTCCTCTTGTGCCACTGTTAAAGTAACCTTGAAAAAATAAAAAATGTGCTTTTTATGGAATATTACAGTGTTTATCCTAAATGATTTATCGATGCTCATTTTTATTGTATTAATAATCTTGAATCAGAGTAAGTTCCTCTCTCTCAGCATCTCTTCTCTGGTGACGAGGGCGGGGCTATAACCTGTCACTCCCATGAGATCAGCCAATAGCAAACCACAACCATCCAATCAATTCCCCACAGGAACAATCAAGCCCTGCCCACATGTGTTCTTGTTCCTGAAGAACATCTGCAATTCTGACTCAGGACTTCATAGCACTGATATATAGATAAATAGTACATTTGAATTACTGTAAATACGATCTTTGCATAAACTGAAATCAAACACTTATTTTTCCTCAAATGTTACTACAATAAATTATTTTAAATGTAGGCTATGTGTGTTTAGAAACGGACCCAGAGTAGTTTGACTGTTCATTTGGGTAGCAGTGCTTTGGTCAGTAATCTTTATGACCGAATTACGACAGATATCCCTAATAATTAGTAATAACGAAAATAATGTTTCATTTAATAGTCACTTAGAAGATAACGAGAAAAACAGACGCCCTAAAACAGCAGAGACTGACGCACGCGCATGACAGCAGCATACACACACACAACTACTAATGCATTAGAAAACACATAAATACGTTACCGGTATTATAAAATATGAACACGTTTAGCGCGTGTCGTGTTATTAGAGGTGACAGCTTGATCACACATGAGGTCTTTGACAGCAGACGTTTCTCAAATGATCTTATCGATCTATATCATTTATTAAAGTTTAATGAACGCGTCATATAAAGCATGGAAAGCTCAAAGAAGTGTCATTCATTTAATGTAAATATATGAGTTTGTGCGCGAGTGTCCTGCTGCCCTTGGGCCTGCGCGCGGCCTACCGCTGTCGTCATCATCAACGGTCGTTACGCTCGCGGTTCATCACCGGTCGGTCTTTCGGCGAGACACACACGGGCAGAGACACACGTACCTGCCGCAGGGCGGTGATCGAGCGCCCGAGGCTCCGGGAGAGACAGCGGGAATGGGACAACATGTCGTCGGGGTGAACCGCGCGTACTGCAGCTCTCGCACAGCACCGGAAACAGCGCCCCAACAAACTGGAAGCAGTCCAGATCATACCATCACGAATCGGAGAGGGGTGAGCACGAATGGAATGTACCATTGATTTGAATGTAAAGATAATTATAATTGTTTAAAATCCAATCTGCATTTGTAACAATAATTGCGCAATAGATATATTTGTGACCCATACATATTGTTTATTGTTTTATACTATTTACAATTATTTTGTTACAATTAGCCTACAAAATGGGAATACTAACACATTCTAATGCATGATAGTGTATGCTTGTTAAAGGTTATTGTGTATCGTCATGTTTATATAATGTATACATTTATTCTCTTTTCGTTGCAACATGTCATGTGTATAACACATTTTCATAAATACGGTCCTGCTGGTTCGTTTCCATGAACCTGCTGGTTCATATCCGTGTGTAATGTATTATTTTAATGTTTTAAGTAATCTCAAGTAAAGTTAGACTCATAAATGGGAAATTAGAAATTACTATATTTATTTGTCCCCGTTTTTTAATTTTGTATCATCAACCTATATCAAAGTCAAATAGTCTGTCATTTCAGCAATTTCAGCAATAGTGATTAACAAAAAATGTTGTCTTCCGATAATAAAATAAATGAATGAACGAACGAACGAACAAATGAATGAATTAATTATTGTTCAATAAAAGTTCAAATAAAATCCACGAAACGACTCAATGCGTATTAATTAGGCTACTGTTGTGAACCACACATCTTGTCTACTGTTTTATACTATTTATTATTAATTTGTTTTTATTAATAATACAACTTAGCATGTCATCATACTATTACGAATTTCATCTTTTCATTGCAGCATGTGTATATCACATTTTTAAAAAAAATAAACGAATTAATTAATTAATTAGTTATTCACATAAAAGTTCAAATAAAATCCACGAAACGAGTTTAGTGCCCGAGTTGTTTACGCTCGGCTGTGTGTCTGGTTTCTGATTGGCTGGCTTGTTGATGACGGATGGCTCTGGCCACGCCCACACCACAGGACCGAGATCAGAGCGCGCGCCGCCGCGAGCGCTCACTGTCAGTCAAGCGTCTCCAGAGCAACAGGTAAGCGCGCGCTCTCTCCCTCTTTCTCATCATGTGCTGAAGTTTCTCTCATAAAACTGCAGATTTTATTGGCTTGACTGTGTGTTTTTTTTTTTACCTCTTTTTCTGTGAGAATAAAAAACATACTTTGCGATATGAAGATTGTAATTCTTCATTATTGTACTGATATATAACGAAACGCATATGCAGTAACAGGCATAAGACACAAGTCGTTTATGTTGGCTTTGTTTCATATTTATTACACGTGTTTTTACATTGAATATCAACGTTCAAAGTGTGTAAAGAGTGCTAAAGTGTGTATAGATATTTATTCAGATCGACATATATAGAGGGAATTAGAAGAAAATCTGTGGATGAATCCAAACTGATAGGAAATGCATATAAAAAAAATACATTATTTTTCTCTCTTAACTGTCTAATGAAATAATGTTATTTTAATGTAATATAACATTTTGTTATCTCTCAGTTCTGTTTGAATAACATGAATCAACTCAAAAAAGTTGAACAATTAGTTTCATAATAAAACAGGCTAAAGACACGTAGTCGAATATGTAGGCTATGTTTCATATTTATATATGAAAGATATGTTACTCGTGTTTACATTGAATATCAACGTTCAAAGTATGTAGAGTATATGTATTCAGACATAGAGAGAATTAGAAAGTTTAACTGATATGAAACGCACTTTATACATATATATATATATATGAAAAAACATTTTTTTTTTGCTCTTGTAATCTTATGATATAATGTTATTTTATTTTATTTTAATGTAATATAATATTGTATTTCTCTGTTCTGTTTGAATAACACGAATCAGCTCAAAAAAGTAAAACATAGCTATATAATAGGCCTATACAATACTCACAATTCAATGTATTATAAAAAAATAGTTGTGTGTGCATTTAAGAATATATATATATATATATATATATATATATATATATATATATAAGCATTGCATATTAGCAGCATCTTATCCTTTGTGTCTGGAATACAGTTAATTGATTGATTATCCTTAAATGCTCACACAACTAACCTTTTTTTATTAAACATAGGTTACATTTTATTTTAAGGTGTCATTGTAACAGATTTAGATGCAGTAAGAAAACCAACTGAGTTATTGCAATGCCTAATGTATTTCTGATTTGATTTACTACTATTACAGATTTTTAAGGCTCAAACGGCATCTTATCCTTAAATGCACGTAAAACTATTTTTTATTTAACATATTGGTTACACTTCATTTTAAGGTGTCGTAATATGTTTATAATGCAGTAAGAAAACCAACAACAGAATGAATGCTGAGTTATTGCAATGCCTAATGTCTGATTTTATTTACAAAAAATGAACAATTTTGAGTTATTTTATATATATAATAAACAATACTTACAATTCAATTAATATGTTTAATAAAACAATTTTGTGTGCATAAAAAGGTACAGAATGCTAAGTTATTGCAATGCCTAATGTATTTCTGATTTTATTTACAAAAAAAATGAACCAAATTATTTTATATATATAATAAACAATACTCACAATTCAATTAATATGTTTAATAAAACAATTTTTTGTGTGCATAAAAGGTACAGAATGCTAAATTATTGCAATGCCAAATGTATTTCTGATTTTATTTACAAAAAAATGAACCAAATTATTTTATATATATAATAAACAATACTCACAATTCAATTAATATGTTTAATAAAACAATTTTTTGTGTGCCTAAAAGGTACAGAATGCTAAGTTATTGCAATGCCTAATGTATTTCTGATTTTATTTACAAAAAAATTAACCAAATTATTTTATATATATAATAAACAATACTCACAATTCAATTAATATGTTTAATAAAACAATTTTTTGTGTGCCTAAAAGGTACAGAATGCTAAGTTATTGCAATGCCAAATCTTTCTGATTTTATTTGCTTCTAATTCAGATTGTTAAGGCTCAGACAGACTGTGACAAGCATGAATCTGAGTCCGGCAGAGCAGAGCGACGGGTGTGCGGAGGGCAACCGATCCGAGCAGATGCTCCCTTGTTTCCGCAGGAGCGCGTACGACGAGCATCTCGCTCCCTACAACGGCTCCGTCATATCCCACCTCCTGCGGAAGACCATCCACAGCAAGCTGAGCTCGCTCGACATGCTTTACTGCGCAAACGAGTCCGGTGCGACGGACGAGGAGCAGAGCGGGGGCGAGGATCTGTCGACGGACGTCGAGCAACATCTACAAGCCAAGCGTGCACGCGTGGAAAACATAATCCGAGGGATGGCCGGATCACACGGGGATCCGGACCGAGACTGCGAATCCGCTCGCTCCCGACGAGACAAACGCAAGCAGAAGCTGCCGCTCCACCAGGAGCCCGACGCCAAACCCAAGACGAGCAAAGACGAGGAGTGCCACAAGCTCAAGGAGCAGCTTCAGAGCATGCAGAGACTCCTGCATCAGCTCCAGGAGAAGATCTCGCACGTGTACGACTCCGAGGGCGAGCCCAAACCGGGACTGAGCCGCGAATCCACCGCCAAAAACCTCCAGGAGACTCTAAAGTGCGAGTTGACCCGGACCGTGAGCGAAAGCATCGATTCGGTCTTCAAGAAACTCGCGATGAGTCCGAGCGCGAGCCCGGAGTACAAGCCGAGCCAGGACGACTCCCGCTCCGAGATATCCGACTCGGAGGAGGTCGGCAGGGAGCACTTTGAAAGCGACAGCCAAACCGAAGCGTTATCCTTAGTAGTCCGTAAGCCTTCCCAATCCCAGGTGATCCCCGGAGTTAAGCGACCGTTCCCGCTCCACCAAACCCCTTTCCAGTTCGGCTACAACACTCCCTTACACGACAGCCAGATCCTCGAGCACCTCCTGAAGTACGGCCCGCACTCTGCCTTCTCCGGGCTCCCCTGTGTTCCCGCTTCCCTGGAGAGGGCGTCTCCGGACTCCATGGAGCACTCCTGGGAAAGCGTGGCCATGAGGTCCAAGGTTCATCATCTGGGTCAGCACCACCATCATCCCGCAGGACTGGTCCCGGTGGACTCGCTCTGTCTCCCGCATGTGAAGATGGAGTGTGCGGATCTGCAGAGCATGGAGAGGAGCTCCTTCATGGCCCTCAATATATCCTTTCAATAATAAATAACACTTTATTAGGCTAATCTTCAGTGTTTTTTGTGTCAGTCCGACCTAAAGGGTTTGGAAACCGATAATCCTCAAAACATCAGTTTAGAAGAACGAAAGTATATACGATATATCGGTATCGGCTGATTGATGATCATTTGGTAACACTTTACAATAAGGTTCATGTGGTTGGGACATTATGAGACTTTTGCTTTTATAATCAGGCTCTCTAAAATGATATTAAAATTTGGATTTAGATTTATCGGCCGATATATCGGTTATCGTTTTTTTTCGGGTCTTATCCTTTCAACCCGTAACACTTTATTATTCTTCAGTGTTTTTGTTATTTGTAAAAGGGTTTTGGTACTGACAACCTTCCAAACATCATCAGAAGAAGCATAGTCTTTTTTAGGAATGCACGATATATCGGTATCGGCCGATACATGATCATTTGGTAACACTTTACAATAAGGTTCATGTGACTGGGACATTATGAGACTTTTGCTTTGCCTTTTATAATCAGGCTCTCTAAAATGATATTAAAATTTAAATTTAGATTTATCGGCCGATATATCGGTTATCGGATTTTTGGTCTTATCCTTTCAACCCGTAACACTTTTTTTATTCTTCTTCAGTGTTTTTGTATCAAAAGGCTTTGAGTACCAACAACCTTCTAAATATCAGCTCAGAAAAAAGAAAGTCATTTTTAGGGATGCACGATATATCGGTATCAGCCGATATATGATAATTTGGTTTTTGGTAACACTTTACAAGGTTCATGTCAAGGTCATGAGACTTTTGCTTTTATAATCATTTTATAATCTCCAA